TCAGGCTCGACCTGGGCGGAAACGTCGTATCCTCGTGACAGAATGGCGAGCCACGGGGGAACAAGCTGGGTGTCGTTGGCAGCTGGTCGCAATTCGGAGATGATTTCCATAAGTCGCGGGAGCTTGGCTGATGAGACCTCATCTGTCATGCCCTCGAAGATCATCTCAAAGATTTCGAAAGACGCCATGGTCATGTACTCGTTTCCGCTCTTTGCGATGCCCAAGAGGAGCTCACACAGAGACTCGATCTTCTTGCTAGGCCAGCCACCACTGGCAGCCGCAACAGTCTTGACCAGCTGGAGAGCGTGGATCATAGCAGGGTCATGGCTAACATCGGCCTTCTGTCCCTTGCGCGCCTGCGCAATCTTGGCGGCGAGATCCTCGAGGTTCTTGGTGGCAGTCTGGGCGCACATGTCGGCAGCAGGATGATCCAGGGAGGGGCTCGGAGGGGGGTTTCGAAGAACCGTCTTCAGAGCATCTTGCGACCTCTTTCGCACCTTTGGTCGGTGGTCAACAGACATGTTCAAGAGTCCAGCAACAGCTCGTCGAGGACCGATTTGGGAGACAGATAGCTCCCAAGAAGCAGCGTCCTGGGCCAGAAGAAGAGATTCGAGACATCCTATGGACGATCGCAACAACGGGGCTTCGGCATCCTGCAACAAAAGTACGGGGGCGAGAAGAGTAAGAATCTGTGTAAACTTGGATCGGAGAAGAGGTTGTGGGGCATAAGGCGTAACAACGTCGAGAAGGTAGACGACGGGAGTCGCCAATTCTGGGTTCACGGCGTCATTGCTGTTCGCCTGCTGAAGAAGGGCGAGGAGAGCAGCGAAATATCCTGTTGGTGTAGGGGCCGTGTTCTGTTCCTTGAGAGTCGACTCGACGGCCTGAAGTACAACGACAGTCTACAAGCAAAAGTTGTTAGTGTGCGACTCGAGATTGCAGACGCTGGAGATGACAAAGTAAAGTAAAGCATACCCTCTTCTGACTCTGAAGTCCAGGGGACTTGATCTTGTCCAGCTTTTCAGCCAGAGAAGGGGTCGCCATCTTGATTCTGAGCAATTCAATGCGCAACCACCAACTGGATTAATCGTTCGGTGAAAAGAGACCCCAGCCAAAAATTCCCAAATTTTTACTTGCTTATCGCACCCCGCTGAACCGATAAGGATTTGATGTGGACTTTCTCAGTGGAAGAAGCTAAGCCACATCTGACATCCTCCCCGTTATGAGGATGTGGCGTCAGCTTACCGCTGTATCCGAGCGCCTACGTACTGGGCTGTAGGCTGTAGCTGTGCCCCTCGGAGCTGACCTTGGGTAAGGTATTAGAAGCTCGCGCCTCTTGTTACTCAATCGCAAATACGTCTATAGCCTCGATTTCTCTTCCATCTTTAGAGAAGCATCATGGCTTTCCTCATTCTTGTCATAGGAGACCTCCATATCCCGGATCGGGCGCTCGACATTCCCGCCAAGGTACGCGCGGTGCTTCCAAAGTCTCGCGTATCGCTAACAGCGTCTCTGTATCTGTAGTTCAAGAAGCTCCTCTCTCCCGGAAAGATCAGCCAGACGCTTTGCCTCGGAAACTTGACCGATAAGCACACGTACGAGTACTTGCGATCCGTCTCCCCCGATCTGAAGATCGTTAAAGGCCGCTATGACGTCGAGGCCACTTCCCTGCCATTGACGCAGGTTGTCACCCATGGAAGCCTTCGAATTGGGTTCCTAGAGGGCTTCACACTTGTCTCTAATGAGCCTGACCTTCTTCTGGCTGAGGCGAACAAATTGGATGTGGATGTTCTGTGCTGGGGTGGCACTCACCGCTTTGATGCCTTCGAGTATATGGACAAGTTCTTTGTAAATCCCGGAAGTGCGACTGGCGCATTTATAGAGGGATCGGGACTGGAAAGCGAGGAGCCAACACCAAGCTTCTGTTTGATGGATGTATGTGCTTTCCAAACTGTTTGTCTGTGCCTAAGTTTGTTTACTGACTACCCTAGGTCCAAGGCATTTCCCTCACCCTATACGTCTACCAATTACGAAAGGACGACAAGGGCAACGAGAACGTGGCGGTTGAGAAGGTTACATACACAAAACCAGTTGAACCTTCAGTGGGAGGATCATCATGAAATTCATATAGATAGGGGGAGTTTACATTCAGCGACGTATTCAAGATCAGCAGCAGAATTTATACCCAGTCACACTTTGGAAGACCACGAGATGGGACTTTCATATCCAACAAAGCATCAATTGGCAAGGCGAACTGCCGAATGTTAACCAATTGGGTCTTCTGTTTGTCCAATAAAGACATAAAAACTGTAAATACAGATATTAACAAAAATAAACACCATTATCCATCGCTTTGTAGAGGTATCTTGGGCATGTGACCAGTCTTTATGATCCAGCGAAGCAGTATCAGCGCCGACAAGCAACATACTCCTTTTGAATAAACAAGAACAACAAATGACAAGAACGCCCAAATGCTCTACCGAACTCCCGCTATTGCAATATGCATCATTACAGCATCATACTCCTCCGCCTAGATGAGGCTCGCTCCTTAGCTCCAACGCCATCCTCGGCGTGAACTGCTGAAGAGACACGCCGCGATGGCCGACGGGTAGTGACCTTCTTCTTAATATCGACAGAAGCTTCTTCATCATTTTGTGGTGACGAGGGTGTGAATTCATAAACATCAACTTCACTGACACCAGTAGTGTCAGAAGCCGTCTCCTCCTTAATTTCTCCATCTTCGTGTGAGGTTTCGCTGCTGGCAACAATGTCTTGAATCATCATAGAGGTGCGTCTTCCCCCACGCATAGTTATAGGTTTAGGGACCTCAGGGGATGATCCTTTGCCAGCCAGAGGACTAGCGGGAATGCTCCCAGGCTCGTTCCCTGTGTTGGTGGCGTTGGCATTTGGCAGATTCTTCCATGACTCTTCAGCACTGCTCTCACGCTTCGTCCGGATCGTATCTGGGGCTTGCTCAGCTACACTAGACCTCCGAGCATATTTGCCTTCTCCAGCAACAGCGTCGAGCATCTCCTTGGTGGGTCGCCGCATCTTGTCTCTGAGGTTAGGCTCTGCATAGCTGACTGCGGTCCTATTTCGTCTGCTGGGCCTCGCTGGTTCTCTGCTCGCATTTACGTCACCAGGTGGAGGTGTTCCTCCTCGTCCGGGTTCCTGAGATGCGGCAGTATCTGGTGAGTTGGGAGAAAGAAGTGCTGGGTCTGTGAAAGGTGTTGTGAGTCCGCATGTAACCTCCACAACTTCAGGGGCTGTAGGAGGCTCGAGTGCCGTTTCGATGGTGATAGGAGCCAAGGTCTTGGATCTGGACTTAGGCCGCTCTTGGGAAGCCTTCGATCTCATGAGATCCGCTTTGGCTGCAGCGACTTCATCAGTCACAACTGGCTTGGAAATCTTCCTTGGCGAGGTCAAATCGTCGTTGGTGCTCTTGGCTGCAAGGGGTTTCCTTGCGCCTGTCGCATTCGCCTTTTCACGAGCGTCCTTTCTCATATTACTGAGTTCTTTCAATGTTCGGCCTCCAGCTTTCTCACGGATTGAAGGCTTGTCAATAGTGTTTCGTGGGGGCTCGTTCTCGTTATTTACCCTCTGAGATCTGCTCGTAACCATATCATCTCGAGCGGCGAGCTTTCGCTTTGATCCAACCTTTACTGGCTGGGGTTGAGGTACCGGGATTTCCTCAATAATTTCTTGTACCTTTGTCTCGATTGATTTGGTTGCCAAGGGCTTTGCTTTGACCGGCTCCGTTTCCTTAGCTTTGGTGACATTCGGGTGTTGCTTCTTTTCGGGCGAAGGTGATCTCGGTAAGGTCTTGGTGGTCTGAGGTGATGTAAGTTTTTCGGGTGGTGCGAGTTTCCTTGTGGGACTTTCTTGTACGGATGTTGGTGTAGATGTTGTTGAAGGGCGTGAGCGTGTGGGCGAGTCAACCTTGACCGGCTCCTCTTCCTCCTCGATGAAATGGGAGACAGGAGGAGGTCCAATGTCTGGTGACTGAGATGTGTCGGCCATGTCATCGTTGTCGGCCTCTGACCGAAGTGCTAGAATTTGTTCTTGGCTGCATCTTGTTAGAGAGAACTTCTGTCTATCTTGATGGAATGACTCACTTCATGGACTGTCTCGGGTAGGACTTGGTTTCTGAAATATGTCCCAGTTCCTCAATTTCACGGGCCATATCTCTGAGGCGTCGCTGTGAGGGACTGGGTCGAGCTGAGCTGAAGCTCACCCTGGGCTTTGTCGACTTTCTTGGTCGTGGAGAGTGTCGCTTCATAGGTGGCTCAAGACCAAGGCCAGCAAGAAGGGTACCCCATTCTGTGAGTTGGGATTCAAGTTTTGCCTTGATAGCAAGTGCATGGTCAGCAATTCGTCGAGTGTCGTTATCTTCAAGTTCTTTCTCTAGCTCTATGATACGACCTCTGAGCTCCAGGTTCTCTGATAGCATACAGGCGCAGTCATTCTCGAGTTCTCGGATGCGGAGGGCACGTATGTTGTTTGATTTTGCAAGATCGCGGTTTTGGCGTAGGAGTTTCTTTCGAACTAGATTACAAGACATGGTCAGCTCGCGTCATGTTACTCATAGGAGTTCTAGATGTTGCAACATACGCGTTTCGAGACTGTCCGTAGACACGGGGGGTTCGTTCAGTCTAGCCATAGCTCATAATGCGATGGATCGCGACAATGTGAGCAGAGGCTTCCTGTGGAGTTAGTAGGGACGTTGCTGATATGCTCTCGCACAAGTCACAGAGTGTTGTTGGGTGTCGGTCTGAAAAAGGGAATTTTTGGTTGCATCTATTTACTGTCGTAACTGTTTTTGTCATAGCGCTTGGTTACCGGTTGCCCCAGTGACAGAACTCCCCACGTTGAACCCCACCATTGCTGGACGGAAACGCAGTATTCGACTTGACTGCTAAAGACGTCGCCAATTATTCCGAGTTTGGTGACACGCCATAGATACGACCATGTCATATCCAACGCGACCGATTTCCTCGCACATGCGCGCCCCGAGCGCGTCTGCATCATCGAGTGGACAGTCCCCAGCATTATTAGCGCGAATCGAGGAGAAAAAGGCCGAACTCGAAAACCTCAAAGAGCTTCGAGAGCTCAGCGCAGCGGTCGCAACACAAATGGAAGCTTTGGAACAGAAACTGTCGACTCTTTCTGATGGAACAGAAGGTAGAGATTCATGTGAAGCTGTTCAGTGCTTGAACTGACTCTCAGTAGCAATTGCAGCCGTTGTTGGAAACTGGCATAATGTGCTACGTGCTATCAACATGGCTTCTTGTAGGTTCTCAAAAGTTTATGACGGTTGATCTTGTCTAACTTTCCAATAGCTAAATTAGCCAAGACGGCAGCCGATCCTACAAACGTCTCGGAAGATTCAACAGGGCCTCTGCCCCAAACTCTAGTCCGAATTCCGACAGAGCATGCGCCAGCCCTGCAAGCCCAGGCAGAAGCTGCAGAAGCCGCAGCCGAGGAAGAAGAGTCGTGAACAGACTTAGTCATGGTCAAAATTACGAAAGCCGACATGTCTTCCGGCAGTCTATAGGGTGCTTTGTGATTCATAGATGCTTCTATGGGGATGTGCTATAGGCAGCATCTATGTGATAGACACCGCATGCTCCTTGTCACCTCCACGACGTTGATTTTGGATATTGGCATCTTTGAGCCAGGCAACAGCAATCTCTTGCAGTTCCCAGCTATCCTCAGCACATTATTCTGCCGTCACGCTCCGATGATGCCTCGACTGCCGCCCAGGACCTATATAACGGCTGAACTCATATTTGGGAGGGTGCTTCCGGATGAATGATTGCTCAGCACGAGGAATGAGATTAACACGGAAATCAGCCTTGTTCTTCGATGACATCTAGACTTCCCGTCCCTGGCGATAAGCTCCCAACCCGAAGGCATCAGGATGTTGGGGGACCCTGGGGTGGTACTTCAAGAGGGGGCATGCATTCACCTATCAGCGCTGGTTCACTGATTCCATCTGGCTGAAAGGACGCAACAGAACTGTTTTCGATTCGAGGACATATGATGGAGCTATCGCAGACTGGACAGGGAATGTGAGCTTGTTTAGTTATGTATCCCTCAACAGGTCGTAGAGGCTTAGTAGCTACAATATTCGATAGAGTTCTTATTGGTACCTTATGGAGCGACGATATAGGTGGCCATATACTTCATGTCGTCTTCAAAGCTAATTGCCCACACCTTCTCTGGACTATTTAGTCAAGACACAGAACAATTACAATATCCATTGCGAGTTTACTGGCTTGATTTGAGCCCTCAAATAAAACTTTCACAGCAATTATCATGATATAGTATGCCCGTGGATATTTACCTGTGATTGTGATTTGGAAATTGGAACTGCATGAGCAGCAGAAGTGGATCTCATTAACTCAACCCTACCTAGCCAAGAAGATAAAAGCCCAAGAATACAGAGAGTTATTGATGGTCTAGAACGCGGCAGGCTTGGTATGGACTCCAAGATTCCAAAGACTTGATAAAGTTTAGATGTTGACTGTCATAATCAGCGGGTTAACTTATATTTAACTGTGTAATAGGCTAGACGCAGTACCGAGATGATGATTCTATTTAGACACATCTGGAGCTGAAGTGGATTACCACGTATAACCCACCTGGAACTTATGTACGTATGAGCTGCACAGTGGGACTTCCGCTCTGGGGCAGTCATCTTATAAGTCGACCAATGAGACACGACGTTGAGATCGTGGAGACTAAAGCCGTTGAAATTGTGACAGGACTCGACAATTGATTTATGAAGGTTACAGTTATGGATAGAGTTCAGATGGCGTTTGGTTGCTGAATTTGCAAGAGAAAAAACACCTTATTCAAGGTATTCGAAATGCCTGATGAAAGGTAATGAATAGAAGGCACGGCCTGTAACTGCGAAAGATTGCAGAAGGATGGCAATATGCAGGTTTGCGGTTGCCGTGGCTCTTATTGTTGTTGTTTTTATTGACGTTGCCTAACTTACAAAGCTTTCTTCCCTTCCCTTCCCTTTCCTCCCCTCCCCATCATCATCAACATCAGCAGCAGCAGCAGCATCTCTCATCTCTCCCCATTCACCATTGCTAGATATTTTGGTCGTTTTCGGTTTCATCAATTTTGATCATATCCGTCACATCACATTGGCCTCTGCAGTTTATCACACTCAGACAAGGCCCCGCTGTTGGCCGTCGCTTTGATACTATTATCCCTGCTACTCGTGAAATTGCGCTCAGGTCCCTGGCTAGTATTCCCTGGAATTTGAACTACGACACGCCTGGTGGCGCTACAATCTCTAATCATTGTCTCAAGAGCCTCTCACAGTCCAGCCCTGGCTTTCTAGCCTCGCTGTTAGCCTAGGGGTCTCCCTCGGCTCCATCGAGAACTCCGTCCAAGAGGCTCGTTGTTCAGAGGCCTTCCATATCCATATCCGCATCCATGGCTACTATCATGGGTCATCAACCCCAAGTCCACCGTGCCACTAACGAGACCCTGGCCTCTCCAAGGCCCGAGGCCAGCCAGGATGTTAATTTCATCGAGCCCAATTCTGATACACGTCCCTCTTCGATCCCCTCTCCCTCTCCGTCATCTCGAAGGATTCTTCAAGAGCTTTCAGCCGATCAAGTTCATAACAAGAGTCTTGCCTGGAACTCGTCTCGAAGGGAGAACAACCAGAATCAGCATCAGAATCAGCAATTATACTTGAAGACTGGCCCAATCAAGCTGCCGACAAAAACGAACCCACCTCGAGGGCCACGGCGCTCACTCATAGATTCTGACAGCTTCGAACTCCTCGATGCGGTTCCTGAAGAATCAATTGAATCCAGCGACTCTGATACTGCGCCCAGTGGGCCTTCAGCTTTAGCTTCACACAAGCTACACTCTCCAGGTTCGTTTCTTGCGTCTTTCATCACAACTCCGAGTCACAGCTTGTACACTTCCTCCGCCATCTTTGTACAATCTGCTAACCCAGCCTACGAAGGAACCACTGTCAATTCACACCCGTTGTTGGATGCAGAGCCTCAAATTGGACACAACTTAGAGAGCCATCTAGCAGGTCAGTTTGAATGGCTTGTGGCGTTTCCAGTGCCAGCGAGTACTGCCAAGGACCACGGCTCTTCCGACGACAGTGAGAACGATAGCCACGACGTCGAGATCGCGGTTCATGGCTGCACTTTACTGTCACGACGTCCGGGCCCCGCCGGCAATTCCAAAGCTGACGTCTTCAACCTTCTAGCCACACCATTGATTGCTGAGGAGTATCTGGCTTTGGGATTTGATCCTTCTCAAGTTAAGATGGTATTGCCTCCACCTCCAGCATATGAGCTTCATCAGAATGTCCCACTTAAGATTCCCGAGGTCATCGAGACGGTAGAGCCTGTTTCGCCTTCTCTTACTTTGATTAGTGAGAGAGGCAGTAGTTACGCAGGGTCCTCTAGGACTGGATCCTTCTCGGTGCCTCGAATCGAGGACTCTTTCGAGGAACTTGATAAACTTGAGGATGAGCTCGAGGCTATCAAGGCCTTCACCCAACCACGACGCATTCCCGTGCCTGAGAATACTGCGCCCAGTAATAAACATCTCGAGCCACCCTCCACGGTCAAGAAGCCGACCGTTTCGAAGAGGGCATCAGTTATCGGCATGTCTTCCACAGTCCGCATCAAGCCGACTGAGAGACCACAGCTTCCTCTTCGCCGATCGACCTCTCTGATATTCAGAGACAAGAAGCAGGACGAATCCAACAACATCACAGATTTGAAACCACATACTGCACGCGGAAAGCTGATCAACTCTCACTCCGCACCATTGAAGGCGCCTGTCAAGTCCACGAAACCTCCTACTGTCCCCAAGTTTGAGCTTCCTGGTGAGGCTGTCTCTCGACGCCTGAAGGAACAGCGAGAGGCTCGTCGAGCCCAACAGGCTGAGTCTCAGAAAGCTTATGCGCCTCCTCCGAGACCAAAGTCTAGTAAACCACTTACCAGGCCGAACTTCGAGCTTCCAGGGGAGGCGATCTCTCGCCGTAAGCGTGAGGAGCGTGAAGCCCGGCTCAAGGCACAAGAAGAAGAGGAACAAAAGAAGCGGGAGTTCAAAGCGAGGCCTATGCGTCATAGTTTAATGCCGGGTAGCATTCCGCGAGAAACGATTACTAGTCTTGCTCGACAAGGCAAGCTCCCGCAAGACGATGCAACTAAGACATCAACCTCAACTAAAACAAAGCGGATGTCAATGCAGGGCCCAAGACCACCGACCATGTCAGAGGCTCCGGTTACCCAGAGTCGAGGTCGCCTTTCCACTGCTACATCACGAGAAGATTTTAGCCGGGCCACCTCGACTTCTACAGGAAGCGGCGGTGGAAAACGAACTACACTCACTGCAGAAGAGGCTTATCAACTGAGGCTTCGTGGGAAAGAGATTTTTCAGCGAGACAACACAAGCTTCACTCGAGACAGAGAGCGTGAGAGGCGCGAACGTGAAGAAGCAACACGCCTTGCTCGTGAGCAGGCTGCGGAGCGCTCTAGAATTGCGAGCCGGGAATGGGCAGAGAAGAAACGACGTAAGGAGTTAGCCATACTGGAGTCCCTGAAGGGACACTGATTGTTTCGAAGACAGGCAAGTGCTTGGTCTCACATTTTGCAAAAGCCGTTTCTCGTGGAGTAGAGGCATTTCATTCTCCCTAATTTATGTGCGTTAAGCCTGGAGTTTGGAAGGCTTGGAGTTATAGCACTGGTTATGTGCGTTTTTGTTATTGCGATATTGTTGCTTCGAAGGTTTCTATCTTTAGGCGTTCGTCCGTTGGTTTTGAAGGACATTGGCATACCAGGGAACATTCACGCAGCCAGAGATTGTGCCCCTGTGTGCTGCTACAGAACTTAGTTTCAGAGACTATCATCAGATAATAAAATCACAGAATTGTTTAGCATGTCTTTTCGTGTCCCTCCTCCAAATAGTGCCGTATAGACTGATGAGTATTGGTCTAATGGATGTTAGAGTCCGTACAAGAGACCGGCCACTTGAGGTATTTGTCGACTGGCATTGGCACCAGGGAAGCTCACTTTCATCTCAGGAACAAGCCTTGCTTTTCTCTCGAATGTCCCAATAAAGCCTCAAGTTACTTCTCTGCGATGCTCACGCCAAGCACGTACAGTTCTATAGTCATACACTACTAAGGTACTCAAACAAGGAGACGAAAGGTATTGTGTTATAGATGATAGGTAGGCAGGCCAAGGCTCAGAACTGGTGTCACTTGCATCACGCTGTGAACAATTGGTTGTGCAACTGTTACATAACATTTCATCAATTCGCTTGCCATATACCTCTATAAATCCACGTTTCAACATTGTTCAACCGGTGACTTCTAGAACACCACACCAAGTCCCCCCTTACACAACTCATCTGACACACCATCCCCGCCACTATTCAACTTGGACATGGCTTTTTTACACTTCCTCTTAAACCCAAATATTACAGGCGAATAATAATTGCCCTTTCAATCATCACAGACAGAGGGCAAGATAACTCCATCATTCCTCATATGTACAGATTCCACCTCATGATGTAAATATATTCCAAAGGGTGCCACCCTGTCGTTGGTACCCTTTCAAGCGAGATAGGAAGAAAGAAAAAGAACCAGAAATGCTCCGTTTTGAAGATGTGGTAGCCAAAAAGGAAAAGGGTCCCCTGATGGAACTCAGGGAATCCGAAGAAAAGTGAGTGATTAGGTTGCAACCTATTCAGCGTAGGTGACTGATGAAGTAAAGGAGATGCCGGAAGTGTGAAACGCCATTCGAGTGCATATTCCACCTCCTAGCGAGAGTTATCGAAAGGCGTGGGTATCTTTCTAGAGACATAGGAAAAGTCGTGGTGACCGAATTAGGTAGCACGGAGAATCAAGTGAGAGTTTAAAAGTTTTGTGAAATGCCCGCGCTCTGCTGTGGGTAGTGAGACGGGTTCTCAATGCGTGTGTTTCGTCGTGCCGGGTTATCGCGAATGACTGCCTGTTGTGGCCCGTTGTCGCTATAAGGGTTCTGTGAGTATTGGTCGTAGTACCCGTTGCCAGTGCCATATGGTGCTCCCATGGGATCCGAAGCGTCGGATCGGCCAGCAGCACTGTAAGAGGAGGACGCGTTGGATGGCCCGCGATGCACATCTGCGCCTCGGTTGTTGGAAGCAGAAGGGCCCATTGCTCCGAGAATTTCGCCCTCTGGCGAGTGTGAACCATCCATGAGAGGCTCGCCAGAGCGACCGTCTGACATGTTGCCACGAGTAGGCGAAGTGATATCTGAGTAGGCTCCGGTGACACCACCAGACAGAGTAGTAGAAGCCTTGCGACCAGTAGAGCCAAGAGTAGTGTTGCCCCAGCCACGGTAACCGGAAGAGCCATCTTCCCTCATCTCATAGCCACCATCTGCCATTCCAACTGCAGGGATCGTAGGGTCAGCATTGGGGTTGTAGGCATAATCTTCAACTTCCTTTCGTCGCTCCTCTTCAGCTTGTCGACGAGTTTTGCGCTTCTTCCACCAGAATAAACCGAGGAGCGCGAGGATGGCAATCGCAGCAATTGGCACAGCAACGCCGATAGCAACTTTGCTCTTCTGGCTCAGACCACCACCTCCATTTCCGCTACCACTACCACCGATGGCATCGGCATCGTTGGTACTGGTGGCGGAAGCGGAGGCCTCGGTAGCGGTAACTCTCTGTGTACGAATCGCGGTAACCAAAACAACGCTCGTTTCAGGTCCCTGGCTACCCGTTACGGTGACAATAGTCGACAAAACCTCAGATGTAGTAATTTCAGTGGCAGACGCCTGGCTTTCTTCCGTAGTGCTCTGCCGATCATTGCTGTCATCGGTTGAGGATGGGACTGCGGCCTCTGTAGTTGGTTTCGCTTGAGTAGACTTGCTGGAGCTCGTCGGTGAGGGCGCGGGGTTGTTGGAAGAAGGCAAGGCATTATCAGATGTTGGCGCAGGTGCAGCTGTTTCAGAGGCACTGGCGTTGTCGGATGCTTGGCTCGCACCATTAGTCGCTGGTTGTGTTTCGGCGGCGGATGGGCTCGGCTGCGTGGCTGAAGGGCTGTTGTTTGAAGCTGGGTTCGAGGTTGCGGGTTGTGCTGGTGATGAGTTCTCAGCAGGAGACGAAGCTTGGTTGGCGTTGCTGTTGTTGTCGACAGAGGATGGGTTAGGGGCTGACGCCTCTGTGGGCTGAGTGCCCTGACCCGGCGTGGACATGGCTAAGTCTAGCGTGCTCACGACGGGGAGTTGTCTATGATCGAGAATCATGTTAGCGACCAGGCAAGACTCGCATTGAGGGTTGAGGGTATTCAGAGTGTGGTCGAGAATAGTGAAGACATGTAACAAGGGGGATGGTGCAGCAACAAATCAAGTCAATCAACACAAGGGGGTCGTTGATGGATTAGACGTGACGAGGTCGGAATGATGGGAGACAATATTGGCGACAAGTTCCATCCAAACTGGGACCTCAAATTGACTTGTATGGGGATCGTCGAGGGAGAATTGGATTGAAGGATTGATAGTGAATAGCGAGTGAGCAGGGACAATTGCATTGGATTAGATGCAATGTATCGTGACACGGCGTACCTTTGGAACTGTTGACCGACCGTCGATCCGTTTGAGAATTAAGGAGTAACGAGGTTATTCGCTAACAAGGACGCGTCGAGAGTGATTAAGCGATATTTCGGAATTGGCCTGGTGATGTATGAGAAGAAGTGAAATAGAGGAGAAGCGAAGAATAAGATGAAAGACGAGAATGAGAACGGGTGAGTGAGCGAGAATGAGGTTGGCTAACTAGAACTGGGCTGAGCTGGGCTGGGTTGGGTGAGTGATTGGATTTGGAAGGTCGGGGGGTGAGACTTGAGACAGAAAACACAGACGACACGGACAGCAAAGAGCCCAACTGAAGCGTACTAGCGGCCGCTGGAGGTCAGGTCGGGGTGGAGGCTTTTACTGGGTCGACCACTGACCAGGACCTGAAGCTGGGGGGGCCATGAACCTAAACTTCCAGGGCTGGGCCTGAGCAAAAGATCCAGTTCTTTTTTCGCCTTCCATTCTTCCAAGCCAAGGCTCTTGTTGAACCGTGAACGAACGAACGGGCTTGGGATTGGATTTGACGTAACGTAACAAGAGTAACGTATGTACGTACTTTGTGCCTGCTATACACAAGCTTAATTGAGTTGCAACTCAACTCAACTTCAACTTTTCATCAACCGTTGGTTTAGCCTAAAAATTTATATTTCTCACTGTTGAGAACGGCGACTAAAAATAAAGGGAAAACGGGTGCCGGTTTGCTTTCGGGAGGCGTATACGCTATCCGGTCAGGTCCACTCGCTTTTGGGACAAGAAAAGTCAAGATCAACAAACGACAAAACAAAACCTATTGTACATGTGTAATGAAAGAGAGAGAGAGAGAGAGAGAGGCAGCAAAGACAAAAGGAAAAAGACATCACAAGTTGAAAAGAGTGTGCCACACGATAGTCTTTGAATCAGCATCGGGCCTTTGACACAGCCATTTTCTACCCAAAAGTCTAATACTGGAAGACGATTACATTCCTCAGCCACATTCACCCGCAGCTAATTAGGCATCGCCATTTCTCTCGATCTTGTCTTTTATTAGCCGGGGTCTGATGGCGTGGAGACACCCCCAAGACGATATACGAGCCTACGAGCCACCCAGCGAGGCAGTGACTGTTGGCTTCGGGACGATCAATGGAGCGACAAGACCTGAAAACGTCAGAGGTCAAGATTATTTACAAGTATTCAGAGATGCCTGTACTGTACTGTGATATACATGATTATTTGTTTGTTGACATTTAATTTCTAGGCATACACATACATAACTAACTAACTTTCCGTCTCCCTTGCATCGGCTCGAGGGGCTTTAATTTCCCCTGCAGCGCATCCAAATACAAAGACTCCAACCACAAGACGTCGACCACCACCACTAACACCAACAGCTGTGAACTCATAATACAAGAAGAACTATATGAACCTGTCTGTTGAAAAGGCTCTTGAGGATCCCCAAGATTGATTGTCGTTTCACCACATGGCTCAAGACGTCATGATGATGAAGCCAAGTAATTAAACCCTTCAACTCTAGTTCCACTGACGAATTCCAAGAGGCATCTCGATAGCCATTATTAAATACCTCGCAGGCATTACTCTTCTCTTTTGAGGAAATTCGAGGGGGTTCATCGTGGGTGAGTGAGATCACATGTTGTTGGTTGGCATTCAAGTATTCTTCTAGCGTGCCGCGAACCCTTTATTTAATCTCAACGTGCAGCAATGGAATGTCATTCTAATGTCCTGTACGTCTGCACTCATCGGGCACAGTCTAGACTCTGCTTTCCTATCTGATCTGATCCAATCTCCTCGGCTGAAGATGTCAAAAGTGATATCTTGCGTCCTCACGTGCCTCGAGTCTTAACGGCCGGATTATGCACTCTGCTCTGGTTGTAATCTCGGAGCCATGTCCTGAAAGGTCGATCCGATGCGACGCTGGCTGTTAAGTGTTAACCAACACCAACACTCACATGAAGGAAAGGCTTATGAGATCGAATTGCACTTTGAATCGAAAAGCTTCTCTTCAAATTGGAACCTCAAATCTGAGACATCCAGGTGTCTCGATTCTGGTGCTCGAAGGGATCGAGGGGATTTGGTTTAAGGCACTGCGTAAGCTCAGCTCTCTTAGTGGCCAACCTCTAACAGGAATCCTCATTCTTCCATGACCTAGATAGGTCGACTCAGCGATCGAACGTCAACTTGATAGGCCATTTCACATACAAACAAATCATTAAATCCAATAATAATATCTACCAAGTGCTACCTACTGTGAGCTCCAGTATCCTCTCATCGCAGCTTTCATATTTAGTTCTTGATTCGCTCTGCCCCGGTGGCGTTGGCCTCCGCAGCAACTAAAGCACAGCATTGACCAAAAATAGTAACTTGATCGCGTGTCGTCGTATCGCCCCAGGAACAACGCCTTGATTCGACAGATCAAACTCTTCTTTTAGATCTGCCAATCGTGTTATGCCTTGCTTGAGTGATATTCATAACATCATAACTTCACTCAATACGGGAGGATCGGTGGTGTTCCGATACTGGCGCGCCTGGTGATCTAACAGGAGACGGAAATCGTTCGAGCTGCCTTTTGGGACTCACACAAACTACTTACTAACGTCGTCTCAGATCGTCATGAACTATACATGGACATATTCAGGCATCTCACAAGTAGTTTCGCATCCAGTTCCGAATAAGCAGTAGAATGGTAGAAACAAGATGGCCATGTTGAAGTGATCAACGCCAGATCCAATTGACCTATATACAACGGCCGAACCTACGTTGTCCGAGCCGGCAGTCGTCATCTAGTTTGTCGTGTGGTTTCCAAAGACCTTCTATAATATGCAAGCCTGCAGGTTCCCAGTGTGAAATAAAATATCGCAAGACATCATGACCCTAAAATACGCCCTTGAAGTGAAGAAATGTATAAAGTTGACCAAGACCGGCGCACGCTGTGTGTAATGCAATGTCAAAAAGACAACGCTAAGAAAGTTTTTTGACATGTCAGTGGCAGCCCATGCATAGACCGATCCACTGAATGTGTTGATGCGCTACCTTCTATCAAGGTCGGATTCCCCATGAAGGCTTCAGTGTATCTTGCAGCGCTTGTTGGGTGAACACTTGGTCGCCAGGCAGGCGACTTACACGTCCAGCTCCGTTGCGGATGGCACCAAGCTGAGCCTGGGACATGCCGCTACGGTTACTCCTGATGCTTCCAGCGTCGCTCATGTTGTCGGAATCCTTGAATCTCTTGGGAGGTGCGAAGTCAAGTCCAGTGAATGTGCTGGATTTGCGGAGAAGGTGACTGTTGTACGTTAGCTAAAGTTTATCTGATTGCGTAGTGGCGCAAAACTTACGGGCTGGGGAGAGCCGTCAACTCCTCGAAAGGCGAGACAAGAGTCTGGGCAGCAGGAACAGAGGGCGAGTAGGGTCGTCGCTCGCCGAAAGGACTTTGAGAGCGACCAGCTGCAGTGTCACGGATGGTGTTGGGAGGAGCAAAGTCAGCAGCGTTGATGAGGGCGATGTTATCATCCTTGAGCTTGGAGGGGGTTGGGAGGGTGGTCAAGGGTGCGGGTGGTGGGAGTCTCTTCCTGGGGGGTTGTCGGATGCGAGCTGAGGCTGAAGAATCAGGTCGAGGGCCAAGAGCAGAACCAGCGCGTGAACGTCCTCCAGGTCCGCTCTGGTAGCTCATACCACCGATAGAACCGTTGGGACCACGAGGACGAGGTCCGGGACGACCAGGTCCAGGGCGTCGGCCAGCTGGGGGAGGTGTCATGGCACGGCGAGTGACAGGCTGGGCATAGGGCATGACAAAGGCATTTGTCTCAGGATCAAAGTAAGCTCCATCACCACCCATCATGTAGCCTTGGTCAACATCCTCGTAATACTTAGGGCCGGGTCTGCCCTGAGCCATTGGGGGCATGGGAGGCATTGGCGGTGGTGCCTCCTTGGTATCCTCGAAGTACTCCTTATAGAAAGAACGGATACGGTTGGCACGGTATTCGGGGTCCTCGGACTCTGTGATCTCATCCGGAGGAAGAGGACGGAATCCGACTGAGAGTCTCTTGTTATCCTGCTGGGGAACTCCTAGGCCTTGGTACTGAGGTGTATCCTCCACGAATGAGGTACGTTGCATAGTGCGACCACGGGAATCGTCCTCATGGTCTTCGTAGTAACTTGAAATGTCAGCCGCGGGGGTGTAGGACTGGTAGTTGGAACCATCGCTCTGGCGGTCGTGGGGAAGAGGAGCGGACTTGGGAGCATCAGGGGAAGTCACAGTTGGGGATTTAGGCTGAGGAAGAGAGAAGTTCAAACCCAGACCGGTGGCCTCATGCTCCCTGGCAGGAGGTAGAGGGAAATCGTTGGCGGGCTCCGAGGAGAAGTTGGGCAACTCAAAGTCGGGAGTCTTGCTCCTCACTGCGGGAGGTGGCTGTACGGAGGCGCCGTCACGCTTCTCATCAAAATCGGAAACCACTCCAATCTCAGGGATGATTGGGGCAGGCTGGAATCCATCCTTCTCGTCGAAGTGAGAGTTCGGCTGGTGGGTTGGCGCAGGCGCCTTGGGAGTGCCGAAAGGATCGACCTTGGAGTCGGTGGCAGAGACAGGAGTCTCAGGCAGGGAGTTCATGCGAGATGGGGGTTTCATGCTACCAGGCTTGCCAGAGTTACGAGGACTACTGAATTTAGTATTGTGCGAGAGGGAATCCTTGGGATTAAAGGACCGCAATGAGCCGGTCTCGCTTTGCGTGATGGTCGCAACATACTGGTAAGGGTCCTGATTATCATTTCCCAAAGACTTAGCCAACGAATTGAGCGACTCTCGCGACTCCTGCAGACCGGGTGGCAGCAGGTAGGGCGAAGAGAGGTTCATGTCCATCGAGAGCTGACTGGGTTTATGGTTGAGGCCCTTCTCACCCCCTCCCATAAAGATACTTCGACGGGTAGACCTCTTTCCGCCCGCCTCGTCGAGTCCAAAATCCAGGCTCTTGTGAGGATCATTGGCATCCTCAAGCATCTGCCTCTTCATGTTCTTACGGTGGAGGTAGTACAAGAAGATTGCGATCAGAACGATAGGAACCCTACACATAACATGGTCAGCATATCGCGATCCAGTTGACCATCCGAAATCGAAAAAACAAAGGCGTGGTTGGTAGCATACACAATAGCGACAACGATGGGAACTACCAAGTTCGTGTTGGCGCTAGCTGCTGCACAACTGTCCGTTGCTGCGCAATTTTCCCGGGTGACGAGTCGGCGAAAGATCGAGGAAGACGATGCGACTCCATTTTCGGAAGCTGAAGAGACATCTTCAATGTTGGTGCGAGGCCGAAGGCGAGCACCTTCGTAATGAGCGATCCCCATGTTGGCGTTGTATGCTAGCGCATATACTCAAAGCATCCAAACAAACAAAGAGATGTTGATCGTCAAGTGTGGTTTCCTCCGCGAAAAAGTAGAAATGGGCGTGAGAATATTAAGAATTTTCGAATATTAAACTCCAAGCACAACTTTCATAACCATTAAGTTGCAATGCGATTGTCAATGTCGGTAGACGGCTGGCACGCGTCGAGTATTATCGTCTCCAATCTGATGCGGTATTCGAGTGAATCTGAAATCGTTTTCGTCCAAGGTTCGCGAGAAGCGTCAAAGCAGATCTTGGGCACCGTGATATCGAGAAGAACAAGACTGGACAAATCCAAAAGCCAGCGAGCAAAAGCGAGTGAGCGAGCGGCTGTGATGTTTGTTGTTGTTGTGTAAAGAGGGACTAGGTCATTAAAACAATAGACCGTAACGAAACGAATGACTCGAGTCTGGTTTAAACAAGACTCTAGATTAAGCAGCAGTTTTCTATAAAAGAGTGACGAGCCCGCTGGCAGGCAGCTTTGGCAGAAAAGCAGAACGATATGATGCTGTCGTCGTCAACCGATGAACAGTTGGAGAACGAAAGAAAGAAACGACGAATGGACGAGAGAAGGAGAGTAGGTAAAGAGGAGGAGGAGGTTAGCGAGTGAGTGGAGGTGGAGTGGAGCACGACGGGAGAGGCACAGGAGTAAAGGAACTGGGACTGATTGGAACCTCCACCAAGGACAGCCTCGAAAGCCGGTACCTGGAGTGTCATTCTAGGGCCCGAAATGTCCTGCTACAGCGACAAGACTCGCTATTCTCCCAGCGGACTAATCCCTGAGGGGCGGTCCAAGTCCAACAGAGGCCCAGACAGCCAGGCTAGGGGCGGGGGTAATGACCACTCATGGATCAGGTCAGGTCAGGTCCCGTCCATCCCAGACAATGAATGAGCCTTGCTTTAGTTAGCATGGCTCTTAAACGATATCCCAATCAGGGGATTCGCACGGAGCGAGATGGAGTGACACCAGGTTGAACCATTGGATTGGTGGTCAAACCCTTGTTCACTTTCAGACCCCTTCCAAGAGAGATTACGGTGGGCATCCTGCTGGATCCCATGGAAAGGGTTTGCAACGAGGCCTTGGCCAGAGCAGAAAAAAAGAATCTCGTCATGGAAGCCCTGTACTTCAGTGCACAAGCTCATTATTAGGTCGGTTGCTTCTGGTGAGCGGAGGCATTGACCGCATTCTCACAGACAACAATCAACAACAACCAAACTCTCTCAAGGCTCAAAAGCAGAGCAATCCGAAAATCAATCCATTAACAAAACTCAGTTATCAACCGTTTAATTTCCAAAAAGTCTCTTTTTGCCTCGCCACCCCGTTAGCGCCCGCATAAAAAACCACCAGTCACATCGAGCATGAGAGCCCAAAAGGAAGCATCAGCATGCGCCTGTGGGTGCACAACCAGGTACAATCTCGCACAACCCAGATACACAATCGACCCCTGGCCAGTAAAATCACAAAGAATGCATTAAGTTATGAGAGCTTCATGCAAGGCACGCGAGCGGCAGCCAGGCTAGCCCCAGCAAGCATGTGGAGGCCCGGGACCAAGACCAGCCAATGGACGTCATGGAACAGCTCTGCTCTGACAAGACCAAGCCCCGAAGAGGAAAGTAAATAAAGGGGGAGGAAGCCTCCCCGCCTATCCGCAGTGGCGTCAGGGGCTATGCCATGTCAACTGAAGTGGCTGCTGCAGGTACGCGGTTGAGAGAGTTCAATAGATATCTATCGAGGACGGTCTCGATGGTCTTAGACGGAACCATTCAAGACAGTGTCAGTAACAACCCGAGAGCGTATTGTCCTCTCCCGTTACCCGCCAACTACATGAGACTGCCATCCTAGCCAAAGACAAGACAAGGCAAGACAAGACAAGCCACCTGAAATGAAAGCGAAAAACACTCGCAAACACAGTCAAACTTGATATCAATCACACCGTCTGTTTCCAGGTTTCAACCCCTGGCTATCGAACTAGCCCCAAATGGCTGCTCGAGATCGCCAACTCCCTCATATCAAGATGCATATCGCCGGTGTCACAAAAGCTGAATCGTTCCCACATCAGAATTCTTGCATTATAATCTTGGCTTATCGTGGGTCATAATTTTAACCCTCACCCACTCACTATGCGCTGTCTAGTGCTGAGATATGCATATTGCCTTCATTTCCGTCTCCCATATCCTGCTGGCTTATTATTAGTATTCAGCTTGCCTACGTACGCACGCACAAACATTAAGAGAGAAAAATTCTTGAAATGGCTCAATTTTGCAGGAATTACCAATCGCTCGCCTACGTCAATATGGAGCTTGTAATTTTGATTCGGTGACTTCCGCCGCGAGCCATCTCACGGCATATCACATAGATCCGCCGGGGAAGCCGGATGATTTATTATTAGGTAGTTGAGCCGTTCACCATTATTAGTCAGGACGATCAATCTCCCTTACATCGGAGAGACGAGGCTATCACCACTGTTGCCCTCACATGTTACGAATACTGCGAATTGTTCTGAACTCTGTTTTGCCTCGCTTCGGCTCGTTCACCGTCATCCTCGCTATTACCATACAAAAACATTAATATTGGGTTTACTATGTAGTCTGATCCAATGGCGGTCAGTGTTTGACAGGCAAGCTAACAGCTTACAAGTAACATCCATGGGTATCCATAGCAGTTCATGTCGGAATCAAGGACTCCCTTGACCAGCCAAGGCCTCCTCAAGTAATGTCATCTCACCTTTGTAAATCAAGCAAATGATATACTCGCTGTGGAGAAATACCTCACACCTTAACCAAGATTGCTATCCTTGATCCCGAAGCTTTGAAACCGCCATTCATATACCGTCCCAGTTATCCCCGGCCTGGCAGTTTCACATATCGATGGCCCCATCTCCCTTCATATCGAACCCCTCATCCTCTCCGATCTGTCGTGATTTGGTAAAACTCTGGGGCATATTCCATGAGCCATCCTTTCTCGATCTTGGTGACATCCCGGATGAATATCTTGCTACCCGTCTCCATTGCTTCATGGAAGATGACCCAGTCTGCTTTGCGGTTGAACATTAGTGAACTTGGATGTGCGTGAAAAACCATGTTGCCCTCGACGTTGCGAAACGTTCCGTCTGGTTGCATCCTTGCTGCGTGGGCAAAGTAGCCCGATGTAAGACAACGGCGGATCTGTTCTGCTTTTTTGACGTTCGCCTCCGGGGATGCTTGTCCAGCAAGTGTCTCATCTATATTAATGCTGAATCGCTCAAGATACCGCTTTAGTTGAGCTCTGATGCTGACTGCTCGACTCATAGACTTGAAGTTGAGGTGGTTCTCATGACAGAACTTTGCTTCTTTTCGTCCTTTTGTAACAAAGGCTTGATAGGCGTTGAGGAGAGTCAGGTGGTCGCCTTCATCCACGGCGAACTTCCTGCGTGAAGTCTCCATCTTCTTTTTCTCGCCTTCGTGAGAGAACCATACACTGCCTCCGAGACTGGTCATTGCCGCGATTGTAAGCATTTCGCTGAGGCATCCAAAGGACGGAGCCGCTAGTAGAGTTTTCGCCATCATAGGCTCAACGGCCAACTCAGCCATCCTTGACCCCATAGGTCGAGTGAGCTTGGCATACTCATCCAAAGCTCCTAGAGCATAGAGCAACTCAAGAGCCTTGGCCATGAGTTCAGACGGTGGTGGAGATAGAAAGTCGAACCGCACAATATTGTCTATTCCCAAAGCCTTGAGTTGCAGAACGACGGGTGCTAGGTTCGACCTCTGAAGCTCGGGAACATTGGCATCCGGCAGCGACTGATAGCTCTGCTCAGTATACAGTCGGAAGCATTTTCCAGGTTTTGTGCGGCCAGCTCGTCCAGCACGTTGGGACGCCGCTGCTTTCGATACTGCTGTAGCAATGAGTGATTCTATGCCAGTCCTTGGGTCATATGCTCTCAGTTTCACGAATCCACTATCCACCACGAATACAATTCCATCGATTGTGATTGATGCTTCGGCGATGTTCGTAGAAAAGATAACTTTTCGAGTGCCTTCGGGCGGCTTGTCAAAGACGTACATTTGCTGTTCGGTAGACAAGCCAGCATATAATGGTAATGGCATCAAGGGACCGTGTTTTGAGCCAAGATCGAGCATGCGCTCGCTGACTGCTTGTATCGCATTGTCGATTTCTTCCCGACCAGTCAGGAAAACCAGGATATCCCCTTCGCCTTCTTGGGTATGAATATCACAAACCACGTCAATTGCTTTCTCAACATAGTTCTCTGCTGGTGACTCCAAGTAGAGTATGTCTATTGGATAAGTTCTCCCTTCGAGACTGACGATGGTTCCGATTTCATCCTTTTTGTCAGGTTTGTTTGGCTGGTCATCACTGCTCCTTGTGAAGAAGTCCAAGAACTCCTTAGCTTGGAGAGTAGCACTGCTGATGATGATACGCAACTCGGGTCGCCTTCGGCGAATCTTCTTCAGTAACCCCAATAAGACATCAGTGCTGATAGACCTCTCATGCGCCTCGTCGACCATAATAACCGAGTAACGCGTCAGCAATGGGTCGACGAGAGCTTCTCTGATGAGGAGGCCATCTGTGAGAAACTTTATCTTTGTAGATGCCGAGGTCACATCCTCGAATCGTATTGAGTATCCGACTTCTTTGCCAAGCTCACAGCCAATTTCTTCGGCGACTCGCACGGCAACTGTGGTTGCTGCCACACGACGAGGCTGGGAAATGTCAGCTTGTGTGGTGACATGCTTTTGTGTTTACTTACCTGAGTGACGCCAATGATCTTTCCATCTGAACACCATCCTGCTCGTTCTAGAAATTGGGGTATTTGTGTTGTTTTTCCAGAACCAGTTTGGCCTATGACAATAGTGACTGGGTGTTTTTCAATCACATAGAGAAGGCTCTCGCGATGCTTTGCAATTGGGAGCAGGGCTGCCGGCTTATGAAGAGCTGGGATAAAAGCTGCATCTAAATCCAGGTCTGCCATCTTGGACTGGGTCAAACAAATTCAATAGATCTAGGACCCTTTTTAAGAGCAGCGCAAAGTCTCTCATAGCATCCGAGTGTTTTCCTCTCTACGTGCGCACAAAACTCAGCTTGTTTGAACACGATTCATTTTGCATGAAGCATTATAGTCAAAGTCAAGCTTCATGAGACGCATGAAAAGCTACCCTAGACTCGATACTGAAGTCAGAACTACGACCAATCAGAGCAACTTCCCCATCAAGAATGCATTGTGGCGAGTGGGTCAACGTCATCAGCTTCGTGTAGGCTGATTGACCCCTCGCGCCTCAACTTTAATATCACAAGCAAGGCCAGGCTGAAGCGAAATCCCCAATTTCCCTGGATATTACCCATCTTTCAACCGACTTCTAATCAAATCTCGACTCTGAACTCGTGATAGCTTCAGACTGAAACTCAACCATACCAACGAGAAGTGCAATCAGGATGTCAGCCCCTGGAGAAACGGTATACTACTACTCCTTTCGAGAACTGTCTTAGATGGCTGATGTGGGAGCATTTTTGCTAACATGACTTCTTCTACAAGAACAAGGCCACCGCCGAGAGTGGACCTGAGTCGCCTACTACTGCGCGACCCCTTGACCTCGACGACGACGATGTTCAGGAATCAGGCGTTCTCGATAGCAACACTACACCCACTGCTGCGACCAACACCACTACCACCCAGGCTCAGGCTCAGGCACCATCACCCACGAATGAGACAGCGCCCCCTAAGCCCCCCCGACCTGTTTCTGAAGCACAAAAGAATGAGACTATACTCAAGGAAGCTTTCCCTACTGTAGAGCTGAGCGTCATCAAGGCTGTGTTGAGAGCTAGCGGTGGTCGCGTCGAGCCTGCGTTCCATGCTTTGCTGGGTACGCTTACACAGACTCTTACTAAAGGGCATAATAAACTGATATACGTATAGAGATGACCGATCCTGATGCTGCGCAAAACGAACCCGTCGACGAAGTCCCCCCGCCTCAACCCCCTAGGCCTCAGAACCGAACTCAGATGTCGCAATTGGAGGCAGACGAGCTATATGCACGCCAGCTTGCAGAACACTACGATAACGTTGGCGCCTACGAGTCGCGCACTGCCAACCGAGGTCAAAGACAGGGTCAGCAAGGTCAGGATGAATGGGGTGACGGCCGTGAGCATAGCTTCATTGACGACGACCTCCCCGTGATTCGCGAAAATCTACGCAAGGGATTCTTCGAGACACAGGAAAAGGTCAATGGATGGATTACAAACATCAAGAAGAAGATCGAGGAGAACTTTGATGAGAGTGAAGAGCAGACGCAACGACAAGGAGAGCCCTTCCGTCGTCCCGGAGAGTCCAGCAGGCGAAGCGGTGATTATGACCGATATGATGCGGACCCTCAAGTTCTCAGCGATGATTTCGCTGGCATGAAGTTTTCTTCTGACGGAAGTGAGTACTGATTTCTGGATTGTGTTGAAGCAAATATTGACAACTTGCAGCTCCCATGAACCGACCCATGGCCAATACTGGCATGTACAAGCCCCCTCCCCCATCGACTTCACCCAAGCCTAGCAACGGCCGACGGGTTGGTTTCAAGGAGGAGACTGAAGAAATTAATATGTACGACTCTTCACCTAGAGTGCCACCCAAGGATGCAGCTCCCACGAGTGGCACAAGGGGAAGCAAGTGGCAGCCCATGTCGGCGGTTGAGCCAAGCCCTATCGCAGAAAACGACCCTTTTAGTCTTGGGGATAGTGAGGATGAGAGGGAAACACATCAGAAGTCCAAGGACGATAAGACTGATGACAGCGAGCGCTTGAAGAAGGCCACTGCTGAGGCAATGGCTGATAGCCTGAGCGAGTCTAAAGAGACGGAGGCAAAGAAGAACTAGGTGGTAGCAGATTGGCGGAGACCAGTCGTACAGTCTGGTTTTGGAAGAAGATGGAAGTCATGAAGACGTAGCCGGGAGTCATGAGAGCAGCATAGTCGACGAGTCTGGTGCCCCTCTCGCTGCCATAGCAAACATGGGTGGTCTGTTTCTGGTTATAGCTCCGTATCGTATATCACGACGGTTCAGTAGGTAGCATATAGTAGCCTTTCTTTTCCTGGTTCTGCATACTCTGCTGTCCTTCCACATTGCGTATCATGACCCGTGACCCCTTCTCAAGTGACGATATCATGAGGCGTCGGTGCGGACTCGGTGTTCGTTCCTTGGCCTGCATAGGATATCCAGTTCGGAAGGACATACGACGATAGAGGTCTCACACAGTGGACGTTTGTGTTCGCCCAACCAATGTCAACAGTGACAGGCATAGAGCAAGCCTGAAGGATTATTCATTCCTTACTCATGAACTAGGAAACGGAGACGTGCCTCGAGTCGTGCAAGTCCTTATGGTGATGGAGCCGAGATGGGGAAAATGACATAAGAATTTTCCTAGGGGCTGAACAGTCACTCGCTCTTGAGTCTGGAGCCTCTCGAGACCCCTTTCTTCATGACGTTCCGTCTCGGCTTTACCAATGGAAACAAGGCAGGTCATTGGAATCATTATTGTAACGTAAGTGGAAGAAGTACGCGCGGAGAAACACCCGACAGGTCCCGTTGCGATGCACAGGAGACAGGCTCGTGCATTGCATTGCATCGCACAGCTAAAGATGGAGATATGGCCCGGAGCTGTGAGCCGGAGCGCCTGTCGCTCGAGCACGGGGTCGGATACGGGACGGTCATTGGATGTGCGGATCGTTCAACGGACGGGCTTGAGATTAGCGGATGCTTGTTCGGGACCTTATGCTTGATGGTAGTGTATCTTCCGAATAGGCGTGGAGTGGTGGTCGTTTGTTAGGGGACTAGCTGGGCGGAACAAGTCACCGACTTGAACTTTTGAACTGCCCCGCCATGCTGTTAACGCCGTGGGACCATGAGAGTCGTGATCGAGTCGAGAAAGAGGAGAACCAGCAAGTAAAAAGGGAACTATTCAAGGCACGAGGTCATTTACTGCTTAGACCTAGGGAGTTGAGACGCTATAATCTGTCAGTCTATGTCATTTCACGTCCCCGCTTCTTTCTTTTTTGGTGAATGCCCGGTTGCCATTTTGGTTGACCGTCTCGTTGCAAGAGCCACTCACTGGGCTGGGCTGAGCTTGTGCTTTCCTTTGCCTTAGTAGAGCATCCATAGAGGGGCAGTTTTTTGGATCCCATCAAGTTCGTCTTCTAACATAATAAAAAAACACCATCACCGCGACGTTGATTATACTCCGAGCTCCTTTCTTACCAAATACAATTGGAGGTCTCACTATTGGAAAGAAGAAATTGTTGTTGTTAAAATCACTTGCCGTTTTTGAACACGCCTCGGACCCACGTCACGTCGACTTGAGTCAACTTACGGTACCTTACTCAACAACCTTAGCCAGTCCAGTCCAGCCTCGTCTCAGTGAACTCTGCTCCCTTCAAGGCTCGACACACAACGAACAAGGCGCTTTGACAGGCCTGGAACAATCAAGGAATACCATTGATTCGACTATCGGTCTGTGCTTTACTGACTGAGTCTCTGAGAGCAAGTGCCTCGGCTTTTGGTGAGTGAGGATCTCCAATATCGTATCCAATCCAATCCGATTCAACCCTGCCTTACCCTTCACTCTCATAATTCTATCGAACCCTTACCCATAAACTGCATCTCGTTTCCCTACACACACTTGGAGGCCACGCTATTCGCGAGCGTTATTTTCGTCAGCACTTCACGCCCTTTCTCACGCCGCTGGCCCAGCCAAAGTGATGGCATAGACTTTGGTCCAGGTACCCCCCCACGTGCCCTACAGGAGTCGATCTCGGACGTCGTCTAAGGATAACCGGGCTGTCGGGTAATGGGTCAAGGCCCAAGCAAAGACCCTGAAGAAACCGGGCGTTTATCGTGTGTGTGTCACTCTACACATGACAAGCTTGTGCAAGAGAGGAAAAGAGAAGTGGGATTACTTGGAAAACAAGCGGTTGCTTGCGTTGCTGTGAAGAAACGGGACGCATTCACAGGGTCTCAACTCACACTCCACCGGGGGCTTTTCAATAACTATGCCTGGGCTGGGCTGAGCTGATCTTGGTCTGACCTTGACATGCACCTTTAATGCCTGGCTCATCTTCCATGTGCATCTTTATGGAGCTTCTCAAAGGCCCCTTCCCTTGCTCTGGTCTCTGTCTTGCTCGACCTGGTCATGTCTCCGCCGTTGGCCGTTCTCTATTTCGTTACCTACCTACCCTCCCCCTCAACACTGCACCGTTGCACATACACACAAAACACACGCAATATACCACGCGGACGCTGTAACTGACACCGAAACTCGCATATTTCCAGCCACACATCCTCGCTCACTTCTCCCTCCAAGCAGCGATCGCCAAGTCATCCATTCCTTCTCACCTATCCACTCCCTCGTCTGCTCTCTAAGTCACCAAGAGCTCCCGCGGGCGCTCACGCCGCAACATGTAAGATATATCCGTACTTCCTTGCTCCTTGTTCCTGTGTCGAAAGTTGTCCAGCTCGCAGTGGTTCAGGGACCCTTCAAGAACCCACTCTGAGCTGGAAGTTCTTCACAAACTAGACAACTCTGCCGCCATGGTCTGTACTATTAGCACATAGCTTATTCACATTCTACTATAGGAAGTTTGGCAAGCAGATCCAGAAGCGTCAGCTTGAGGTGCCCGAATATGCTGCCAGCTTTGTCAACTATAAGGCCCTGAAAAAGGTACGTCTCATGTCATTCCCTCCCCTGTTAACCTTTCCGTTCCTGCCACCGAGAGCCCCCGGCGTCCGTCCATCTACCGACTCCGCTGTCATTTCCCACGCTGCAGTGCTCGGTCCACTATCACTTTTCCCAAGGCCCTTACAATCCTTCCTCTTCCAGTTGCTCGGTCTGCATTTCTCAGCTCTGGTTGCCAACTGGCTTCTCAGTTCCCTATTCGTGACCCTACCCTTGCCCTTGCTGTTCCCACTGCCGTTCTGGGCTACCATTCTCCGAGTATATGCCCTGCTTCATTCGCAGACCCCATCAACTTGGGGTATGAAGTATTGCGCAGTGTGACAGTGGCTGGCCAAAAGCAATTTCTTGTTTTCCCATTCGTCCCCCCTACACATCCACGTTCCTTCATCGCCAGCAGATTGCATTTCGACCAACTCTTGGAACTTCTTCCACTGACACGCTGCCATGTAGCTCATCAAGAAGCTGTCTGCAACCCCTACCCTAACATCACAGAACAACGTTCTCCGCTCAGCCACCCCCGTGGATTCCCAGGCCGCTCTCCAGGCCAATAAAGCAACCTTCTTCTTCCAACTGGTAAGTTCACTCTGGTGTTACGTCTTCGTCATGAACATCCCGACATGGTTGCTAAATGAGGAACAGGAACGGGAACTCGACAAGGTCAACGCCTTCTACCTGCAGAAGGAAGCCGAGGTTCGTATTGCGTCCGGAACGTAATAATGACACATGAAGCTAACATACCATAGCTGAAAATTCGCCTCAAGACGTTACTCGACAAGAAGAAGGTGATACAGTCTCGTCATGGTGTCTCTCGGCGCTCAGCCAAGTTCACTACCCTCGAGGAAGGCTTCCAGCAGTTTGCCACCGATCTTAACAAACTCCAACAGTTTGTCGAGATCAATGGTACTGCTTTCTCAAAGATTCTCAAAAAGTGGGACAAGACATCAAAGTCCAAGACAAAGGAGCTCTACCTCTCAAGAGCCGTTGAAGTCCAGCCATTCTTCAATGCTACGGTGATAAGCGAACTTTCTGATCAGGCCACCACAAGTCTACAAGAGCTTGGTGCTTGGTCGGATGGAATCCAAGTCAACTTTCAGTCGGGGCACGTGGTGACCTCGCAGCATTTCGTCGGCACTGATGAAGGGGACGCAGACACACTGCTCCTTGATACTGTCATCACAGGAAACCTTGAGTCCTTGAAGGATCTTCTTCAGCGGATGCGCTCCGCAAACGATACCGGAGATGGAGACAGCTCGTTGATGGAAAGGCTCACGCGGACCTTCTTGGCAGCCATCTCAGAAGCTCCACAAGAGTCCTTGCGAGTTCTACTCGACACAGGTCTCGTTGATCTCCACTCTTATGATGATATCAATGAGAGAAATTGCCTGCACCAAGCTGCCATCTATGGCAAGCAGTACGTTCTGGAGTGGGGCTTGTCAGTCAATGTTGTTGTGGATAGAACGGATGTCTACGGCCGGGTTCCTCTGCATTATGCCAGCCTTCACGGAAGATTGGAAATGCTCAAGGTCCTCTTGGACGGTAAGTTGCTGAATAATATTTGCGTATTGATTTAGTGGGCTGACTACTGTATAGCAAATCAAAAAACCATCGACCTCATAGACCACGACAACTTCACCCCCTTGATTCACTCTATCATCCACGGACATCTCGACTGCATCGAACTACTCCTTGCCAGATCTGCACGCATTGATCCGTTCTCTGATTCGGATCATGTCCCCTTGAACCTCGCTTGCGAACATGGCTCGGTGGCTGTGGTTGAGATGTTGTTGAAGCATGGGGCCAAGATCTTGCCTGATGCTGAAGGCCTTTACCCTCAGCATCTCGTAGCGAGAGCTGGCCAAACCTCAGAACTGCTCCTACTCCTCAAGCAATATGGCGCTGATCTTGACCAAATTGATAAACTTTATGGATGGACACCACTGGTACATTCTGCAAGCGAAGGCAATGTTGATTGTCTTCAAGCACTACTCAAGGTTGGGGTCGATGCAAACATCGTGGATGAGAAGGACCTTCCAGCCATGTATTATGCTGCTTGGGAGGGACATCTTGCATGTATGAAATTGCTAACTCCGTTCAACACACGCCCGCGAGCCAGCCCCTTCATGGTGCAGCCCCCCTTGGGTCCTATGGACTCAAGTACTGCACCTCTGCCCATGTCTCTTGACCCCGATGCGATCCCCGAACTCGAGCTTCCTCCTCCAATTATTCCCCTGCGCCGATACGGGCACAACTTCCTCGACACAAAGACAGTTGTTCAAATCTCCTTCGGGGATTTCGAGGAACAACCCCTTGTCTTCTTCCAGGACGGAAAATACCCTGCCGCTCGCCTCACGATTTCTTCAAAAGTTTCGGATCTTATACCGAAGAATATCATTCTGCCTTTCCAAGAAGATACTCGTATCGTATCCTTCCAGGTTGATAACTTGGATACTTTCAGCCTCGATATCGACGTGTTCCCCACATATGGCGCAAAGGTTATTGCCAAGACGGTCGCCCTATCAAGCATCTTCAAGGGACTTCAAGGCTCTTCAGCATGTTGTTTGCCATTGTTTGATCCCCGACTTCGCGCCATTGGCCAGATCAGTTTCACTGTGCAGGTCATCAAGCCATTCCAAGGGCAACCTCTGGAGATTACCGACTTTGAAACCTACTGGAAAGCAACAAGCCAATTCAACCAACCAACGAGCGCTATAGTCACTGGATCGAGCCTCTCTGGCGATTATGTAAGGCTCTTTGTCCAGTATACCAGTGACGGTGTCCCTGTGCTCTGGCCTAGATGGACAATAGCCTGCGGTGGTCTTGATATTCCTGTCTGTCGATTGACTCTGGAGCAATTCACTTCTATGACTATCAGGAGTAACAGCCGTGCAGAACTACCCAACTTGAAAATCAAGTCAGCTGAAAGCATGGCTGAGGTCTATCACATCCTTGCGACGGCCGGCGTGACACTTCAGGAAGCACTTGCTTTACTCAACCCTGGAATACATGTTAACCTCCAAGTACTGTACCCGACTCCCGAGGAAGAAAAGGCCTTCTCGCTTGGGCCTGCTTTGGACGTCAATGTATTTGTTGATTCGATTCTCAACATTGTATTCGAGCATGCACGAACACAACGTGCGCAGGCTCCTGATGTGGTCCGATCGATTGTATTCAGCAGCTTCAGCCCTCGACTATGTACAGCCTTGAATTGGAAGCAGCCCAATTTCCCTGTTTTCTTGTGCAACGACTTAGGGCGAGAGGAGACCTCAGGGCCCAGCGGAAGGCGCAGTACCTCTATTAAGGAGGTGGTGAGAATTGCCCAAAGCAATAACTTCATGGGATTAATATGCTATTCTCGACTACTGGTATGTTGAAACTACTCTTCTCTGTAATTGATAAACTGTTTGCTGACTGCCGATAGGACATGGTACCTGCACTGGTGGATGCTATCAAGTCTCATGGGCTGGCTTTGGTGACAGACAAGTCATCGGACTCACCGGATGCGAGCCCTATGACTGATCCTTTCCCTCGACCACCCAAGGGTGTCGATGGAGTTCTGAAAAGCCATGGTATTTTGCGTTTCAATGATTCAATAGACATGTAGGTGGCTGTAATGAGAAATGCCTGATTAACGACTGAAATGGTCGGCACGGATAGAAAAAGAGGGATTTGGAGACATGCGTTGATCGGATAGAACTATTTATCACTGCGTATTTGCACCTGTTATACCAACTTAACTAAACGCTTGATTATTATGATTAGGCACCTTTGTAGTCATACTTGAGGGACGATAACTCCTTCTCGGGGTCAACACTGCCCATGACCATCTTTGACACCAGAATAATACCATAGACCACCAAGGGCAAGTATCCCATTCCGGGCCACACGGCTTCACTTTTTGTTCTGCCTATTGCCCAGGCCATCAAAATCAAAACTAGACCGAGGCCCAAATTTAGAAAGGGCAGATAAGTTTCGAGCGGCGACCTTCTTTCGATGTAACTGAACGAACTCCTGCGTTGCCGTGGCCTCCCACGAGGGACATACGGCACATCGTCTACCTCGTCCTCATCATCATCGTCAAACACGCCCGAAGATTCTCTTGTTGATAATGATGGTGGGCGAGTGGGTCGCGGAGTTTTGGGCTTTGCCCAGCTATCAAGGAATGGAATTCCTGATGATGCTGGTGGTTGGTGATGAAGTAGATAGGCCGTGGAGAAGAGAGAAGTTAGGCTTAGGAGGGCGAGAAGTGCTGTAGGAGGGTTTATGAGAGCGGGAAGATAAGGGATGGTCGCCAGAAGGGGTATGGCGAGGAGGAAGCGGCGAAATTGAATATCTCGAGCGGCGTTTTCCGCTGCAAGCTGATTGATGTAGTCTTCTTGTTCTAAGAGCAGTATTAGATGTGTGCTTTAGGTAGTTTGTTAAGACTGCTATGGATATACCTTGTTCATCCAAGGCTTCAGGCTGTGAGTCTGTAGAGTCTTCCTCTGGATAGTGAAATGTGCGCCTCAAACGGGCTGTCGTTCCCTGATAAGCAGGCATGATGAAGTCGCTAAGACCCGGCCAAAGACTGGATAGAAAAGAAGAAAAAAATATAGAGGATTAAGAATAAGAAACAGTTGAGGCCAGGTTGTGATGCAAGAGCCTGTCTTTCGTCAGTCACATGGTAAAACTGTCCACGAGGTTGAAGTGAGGCTCAGCCTTATGACGCCACACCGGCGCTTGCCCCACCTCCAGCGAGCAACATCGGATCGGCGTCCGGCAGCAAAATTTCGCCGATATCGAGCAATTGATGAGCCTCAGCTGATCAACTCCCGTTCAGTTGATCGCCATAAATTCAGCGCAAAATCACCATGTCGCAACAATTAGCGCTACCTCGGATCGTCCGTCGACGCTTGGCGGCTGTTCTCAAATCGAGGACTGTCACATTGAGACCAACGCAGAGAAGATGGATGACTCCTGCGCCGAAGCCTGGAGATGGGCCCATGATGTCGAGGAGGGCGGACCGAGAGCTCCCAGGTACGGATAATTGAGATTTGATAAGCCATTGGATTATACTGACGTTGATTATTGTGTAGACGTAGCTGATGTGACATTCCGCTGGCGCCGAACTTTCCCCATCTTCCTCCTCATCGTGGCCGCTTCATCAGTCGCTATCTTCAACTACCAAAAGATGTCCTCACCCGTCGTCTCCTCGACACTCTACGCTCTACGAACCAACCAAGATGCTCGCGATCTCCTCGGCGATGAGATCTACTTCAAGCACCAGATTCCCTGGATCCACGGCGAGATGAACCAGCTTCACGGCCGTATCGATATCTGGTTCTCGGTACGAGGCACAAAGGGCGAGGGTGTAATGCGCTTTGCTAGCAACAGACCTACCAGCAAGGGTTTCTTCTCAACTACAGAGTGGAGCCTTACCATGAGCGATGGCAAGAGGCTGGATCTCTTGGATAATGGCGATCCTTTCAAGGCGCTCACTGGAGGTGGTGAGGATCTTCCTGTTGTGGAGGAAGATGCTCCTACAAGAGGATTCCGAAAGCAGGTCGAATACAAGTGAGCTATGATGGGCCACTCAAAGGGAACATGGGAGGCGAGCATTGTTGCTAAAATGAATTTGATAACCCTGGGTACTCCGGTTGTAGTCGAATCTGTACAGTAGATGGTGTGTGTGTGTATAATACAAAAAAGCCCGCTTATGATCTCTCCCATTTTATCATACGTAGTACAAATCCCCTCTTACAATCCATGGTAAACGTCATTAGTCTTGAAGCTGCGCCATTTCTCTCTCATTCTTCAGCTGAAGATGCCTCTCGCGGGCTTCTTGGAGCTTAGCCTCATGATCGGGATTGCGCTCCAATAGAGTAGCCAAAGCAGCCTCACGATGAGGTTGAGGGGGAGCCTTTCGCTTCTTGGCGTCTTGAAGACGAACAACACGACCCTTGGGACCGGCGATAGGCCCACCGACTAGCACAATACCCAAGTCGTTGTCCACCATCATGACCTTGAGGTTCTGCACTGTAACGAATTCGTTACCCATACGACCAGGCATCTTCTTGCCGGGCATAACACGACTACCACTGCCCTGCGAAGGACCCGTTGTACCGATTGTTCGATGGTTCTTGGAGTTACCGTGCGAAGCTTCCTGACCGGAGAAGCCGTGGCGCTTCATACCACCAGCAAAACCCATACCCCGCGATCGGCCCTTGACATCGACGTACTGGCCCTTCTTGAACCAGTCGGGAAGAATCTGAACACCAACGGGCAGGAGGCCAGACTCGTTCCGGACCTTGAATTCTGCGAGCTCAGCCTTGGGTGCAATGCCCTTGGCCTCGTAGTAACCCAGCTGTGGGCTTGTGACGTTTCGACCATCGCGCGAGCCTGCACCAATCTGCACAGCCCAGTAACCGTTCTTCTGTCTGGTCTTGTTGGCGACGACTTGGACCTGATCGAGTTGCAGCACGGTGCAAGGCACACGGGTCTTTCCAACAAACACACTAGTCATGCCCTTCTTGGTAGCAAGGACACCCGAGCGCAGAGGCGTAGTATTCTCCCGACGCTTCAGCGCAGCAGCAGGGCCACTCGTGAGCGCAGGGAGACCGGAAGAAGGCTGATTGAATCGATTGTGCTTGCTGCGAGGAGGAGCCGTGGTCCATCCATACTTGACACCGCGGGCAGCTGTGAGCGGGAGGAGGAGAGGCCGGGCGGCGACGGCGCAGGGCCGTGGGAGGGCCAGGCGAATTGGCAGACGGGGAGGCATTGTTTTGAAAGGCGGCGTGTCGACGGCGGCGGTGACGCTGTCGAGGAGAGCAATTGGGCCGCCGTAGGTTGGATATTGAGGGCGATGGGTCGGATCGGTTGATAGTGGTGAAAGATTTTGGGCGAGGTTGAGATACTGGAGAGCTTTTGCAGCACCCGGAGAATTCCCGGCTAGCATTGGCTGTAGGTGGTGAAATGGCACGACAGTCTGGGAGTAAAGATGCCTTGAAATGGTTTTATGAAGCGGTTTAAACTGCTTTCTCATTTTATATTTTATGAGACTTTATCATTTGGTCTCTCGATTTATTCTTTTTTTGTTGTTGGTGACCACTCTCGTTGGCCTTCATCACCTCTAAATCCCAGGACCCCTCCCTCCAATACCGCTCCCCATCTGATTCACACTCGTACCCTTAAGTTTATGATCTCCCGGGTTCGCAGCAGCCTCGTAGATGATATTAGCAGGTGCTCGTCCAAGCTGAGTCCATTCACCCTTGAAACCAATGTACGAGATACGGGTAACATCCTCATCACCGTCACCAAAGTTGTCCGCAAAGAAGAGCACCAGCCGCTGCACCTTTCCAAACAGGGCTCTCTTCACGGGAATCTCTTGCAGATCACTTGTCTGCGAGAGCTCGAGAGTCTGAATAGGGTCTGACTCCTCGGCGGCTGCAAAGTCGAGATCATCTCGGTTGATGAAGAGATGGAGGGTTTTGGGGGCTGAGGCTGAAGGGGATGTGCGGATGAGGATGGAGTGAAGCTTGATTTGGGCCGTGAATCTGATATAGTTTAGTATAATATTTGTATATAAGACGGGGTTTCACTTACGGCACTGTCATGAGAAGCTGCTCATCAACGTCACTCTCCAGCTCAGGCTCAACGCTGAGCCTCTCTTGCCACGTCTTCTTGACGATTTTCTGGCCAACATCTCGTTGGGCTTCATTCAGAGTGACAATGTGATCAAAGTTGATCTGACTGTAGAGCGAGAACTGCACTGCAGGTGTGATGTCGTCGGAGTGATCATGCTCGTGGTCGTGGCCATGGCCAGAATGTTCATCATGGCAGTGAGACATGGTGTCAGATCGATCTGAATAGTCCTACAGTGAGTAAGTAATTGTAAGGGCAGTTTGTTTCGTGAATTATGAGCCAAGCCCGTGGTGATGGTTGAGTTGATGTTGGTTGTAAGTCAAGTGAACCATTAACATTTGAGGATGACGTTTTAGCACTGGGTCCTCTACATAAGCGCCCAAGCCTGGACATCATGAACATTAATGACGGACTCAAGGTCACACAATCCAAACAACAGTTGGAAACAACCAATCTTCATGATTTCCTGACTAGCAATTAAATAATAGCAATTATATATGTCATGTATATCATCAATAGCCCTGAATGTATAGCCAATACGCCTGCAATTTCCTTCGCTTGCTTCATCTAAATCCACTCTTCCTCTTATTCCTCTTCGCCTTCTTCCTATCTCCGAATATGCCCGATACAGGCTGGCTCATAGCAAACGATGGCCCAAAGAGTCCCTGACTCTGTGATGATGAAGGTATGCCCTGCTGGCTCGACATGGTCTGGGGCGTGGGAGCAACAGATATCGGTGGTAGTGCCATGGGCTCTTCTCTCCGAGGACGCATCGGCGAAGACATGGGATTGCCCGCTGTAGTTCGCACAGAAGTCTTGATGGTCTTGGGGTCTCTTCCCTCTCTCATAAACGGCGGCAGTTTATACTTATCGTTCTGGGCCTTGCGCTTGTTTTCAATCCTTTGCAGTCGTGATCTTGCGTCGTCAAACTTTCTGTCGCTAGCAATAGCAACACTAGACATGTAGTCATCTGTACTAACACCACGCTCAGTGGGCCAGTACGACAGTACTTTGGACGGTTTGGCATTTTCCATCTTGTCCAATCTCAATGATGGTGCGAGGAGCTGTAGTCGCCTGACCGCTGCATCATTGGCGCTGTTTGGTGTCGCGCTGAGAGGCGATGAAGGGATTCCACCTTCTGATGACTGCGATGACTTGATTCGGACTACACTCGACTGAGTTGGCTGAGTTCGTCCATCTTCCTCCTGGCTTGCGGGTCCTAGAAGAGGGATATCTTGAACCATAACTCCGGCTGTTGCCAGAAACATATCCTTAGCTAAATCTGCGATCCATCCCCTTATTATTTCCTCCTCTTGCTGGGGTATTCTTCCTTCTAGCGGATCAAGCCAAAGATCAACGTATGTTTGGTTAAGATGCGATAAGCTGACGAGTTCTCGAATCCACTCCTGGGAAGTCTGCCTTCCGAGTTGCGTCACAACTGTGTGTCCATCGTCACCTGCAAACAAATCAAGCATATCGGGTTGTGTTTCGTGAAAACCATTTCGTGAGTCCATCGGACCAAGCTCGTCGCCGATTTCTTTCCAAGTCTTTAGGGGCAATCTCCCTTGAGCCGCCCCCTCCGTGATATTCTCTTGAATAGCTGAGAGTAAGGCGGGCGGTATATCATGAGAACTGTCTGAAATAGCCAGCAAGGTCTGTTTAAGAGAACGGCAAAAGCCATCCAGGTTCAAGCCTATAGGACCGAAAACTGTAGATGCTCTGCTCTTCAACTTGTCGAGGTCCTTGGATCGATTGTTAAGTTTTACCACATGTTTGATGTTGTCATCAGCCATGCCCTCAGGAAGCACAAACGTGCTGCCCATATGTCTAATGAACTGTTTCCGTTTCTTCTTCCAGCGCTGCGCTTCGTCGGACTTGTTACGACCAACCCGCCCACTAGGTAACGTAATCTGCATATTGCGATCTTTGACTGAGACACAGATGCAGTATTGCACACCCAAATTCTTGCTCAGGATGCTACCTTGGTAGAACTGAACTCCTGCACGGTAATAATCGGCTCCAAGGCCAGAAGAAGCGTCCCCATCCCGCGTGAGCTTGACCGGGTGGATTTCCAGTGATTGGATATCGCCACTGGTCGATCCGCCATTTTGGGGAAGAGTAAGCGTGTCACGATGCCAATAAGGGAGACCGCTTGTCTTTGACTGTCCGAACCAGTAGGTTTGAAGTTGTCTATGAGTCGGAGAAAAGACGAACACCATAGCAGTCTCTTGTCCACCTTCTGAAGTAAGGCATGTTGTCATTCGCAATCCTTCTCTGTCGAACAAACGAGGGCAGGATATCAGAATAGTCGGTTTTGGACCTACCTCCTCCTCCAGCGTGCTGTTCGCAAATAAGTCAATCCAGTAAATAGTGCGCATGGTTAGGACGAATATGTGATTCTGGTCGGCCGGACTGACTCTGATGTCAAGAATTGCATCAGGCTTGGACTTTGGACGAGCCAACAACGAGAGTCGAGGCAGAGCTATGTGTGACACGAGATCGATGACTTCATACTTCTCCCTGTTCCAAATCAGTAGATGACTCGATCGTTGTGCGACTCCTCTAGAGTCATCAGTACTTTGTGAACCATCTTCCCAGAAACTGTCCACTTTGGCTGTGCCGACAAATAGAACCCCATGCTTTTCAGCGGGATGCTCTGTCGTAGAGGGCAATTCATTCAACAACCCATCCGAGATATGTCCACATGAGTAAGGCAGAAGTCGTGTTTTCAGCTTGTTTCCCCCTAAGATGTCCCATATTGACCAATATCCGCATTCATCGATGATGACGATCTGTGGTGGCAGGCCCTTGGAATTTGGATTGAAAGCGACATCTACCTGCGCGTTACCGCCAGTTGACTGATGGGAGATGGTCAAGATCGGGTTAGGATCGATTCGCGACAGCTGTGGTTGATGAATGTCGGAGTCTGAAGTGGACGATTGAGCCACTGGAACCTTGTGATACTCTGGATGAAGAACCGTGGTCGAAGTTTGCTTTTGAACGATGAGCCAGCGGATAGCATCATATCGTGTGAGACTGGTTGCGAATTTGACTTGAGAGATTGGCAGACCATCGCTGGCCCAAATGGCCTCTTCCTCGGGATCATCAGGGTCTATCACAGAGGGCTGAAGAGTGGTGCGCTTGTCGTCCCCCCATTTCCATTTAGATTGATCGATCCGAGCCAGCCTAAGCAGCTCTCCTGACTCTCCCGTAGCAGCCGCAAGCATGGATGACCCAGTGATTTTTGAGTGATTCGATACATTTGTCATTTGACCGATAGCAAGCAATGGTTGATCGCTAACTTCTCCCTCGACCTTGGAGTAGCGATTCATATTCTCCTGTAACAGTTCCGATAGTACTGCATTGCCCATAAAGGCTTCAGGGTGAGCCTGAAGAAGCCATCGCTTTTGAATTCTTCTTTCCTGCCATAGGTTGGACGAGATATCTGGGGCAGGACTTTTTGAAGGCGGGTATAACTCTGCTGAAGATCCAACAACTTTGAAGTAAGGTGCTAGACATCTTTGTCAATATTGCGATGCACGCCTAGCGATTGTATAGAAACTCACCTTCAGCAGTTACGCGACTGGAGTGAAGAGTTCCAGGATGCGCTGTCGCATTCTCAGGTGGTATATAAGTAAGACTTCCTACGTGACCGTGGATCAGGTCCGTAAGTCGCCTGGTCTCAGCCATTTGGCCCAAGTCTTGATTTCCAATGTGCTGAAATTTTGGCCGATTTTCCTTTCTTCATCGCGAGATGGGCTAGTACAGGCGCAAGAGAGTCTCGAGCGGGAGTCAATAGTATTTGAAGCACTAAAAAGGCATCCTATGTCATATGGGATCATACGATGAATAATTTGGCCGCGCAAGCAGAAAATGTATCTATAGAAGAGAAGTATCGGTGAGTAAGGTATAAGTAGACGTTAAAGTAAGGTAAGAGATGCTCGGCGCATGCGATGAGAAGTGAAGCTTTCGACGGCCCCACGTGGCGGTGCAAGCGAGGTGCGCCACATTTATCAGTCGACCGAGCAACGCATTTTCGCGGTGTAAATACCTAGGTACTACATACAATGCAATACATGCATGAGAACAATGCCCAATTTGTGTCTCCATGATCAACCCCATTTACCCTACGGAACAAGAATCCGAAGCCGAAAACAACACCAGCCAAACCACTTCACGATCCTGAGTCATACACAATGACTACCGACTTTCAGTCCTCCCTATCCGCCAGCATGCGACAGAGCATGGCCCCCGTCGGCCCCTCTATCGCAAACCAGCTGCCCAACATCAACTTTGGCTTCGATGACCTGCGCGATCGCATGGCAAAGTTCACAGCCCGATTCGATGCATTCATTGAAGAGGGCCGTAAGCGCGTCCTCGAAGAGCGCAACCAGTTCCGCATGAACGTCGCTGAACTTCAAGGTATGCTCTAAAGTCGCTGGCGCATAAGCTATCTACTAACCACTACATCAGAGGATCAACGCATGAAGAAGCGAGACATCGAAATCATTCAAGTCAAGACCTCGACGCACCAACAAACAATCGAGAAGGAAGAGGCGGAAACGCGCGAGATGGAGAGCGCTATTAACTCACTCGCTGCCCAGCGCGATAACCACCTCGCAACCCGCAACAGCCTCAAGGCTGAGATAGCCCAGACACAAGCCGAGATCGAAGCCCGACTTGCCGCGCAGCGCGAATACGCTCAACAGCAGCAAGCACAGTCTCGCTTCAACGTTCCCGAGTTGGACTTTTGGATCACCAACCTCTGCCTCAAGATTGAAGGCGCTGGCCACGACGATCGCCTCAAGTTTGTGTACACACATATTGACGAGAAGGATTGGGAGCGTGAGGCTTGGTTTGAACTTGTCACGAGCTCGCGCGATTACGATGTTAAGCACTGCAGACCCAAGATTGAGCGGGAGAAGGTTGAGAGGGTGCTGGATAAGCTGAATGAGTCGAGGGAACTGGTTGTTCTGCTAAAGGGCATGAGAGAGTTGTTTGTTGAGGCTATGAAGACCTGAAGAGTTGATTGACGGATTATGCTGCGACGACCGTCTATGTGCGATAATACTGTTTTGATAACGATAATTATACCTTGAATGATTGTTTTTGTTTGAAATAACATATGAGTTTGTCTCTGAGATATCTTGGGACTGTGTGCTCAAGTGGCATCCTAGATCCTAAGTTGCTAATTATGTTTACCAACAGGATCGTGTTGAGAATCAAAAGTTAAACTGGATCACCATGTTAAAATCTCCTTCTAAAAACACTGGTAGCCATATTATTGCTCATAACATTTCTGCTGTTTATTGGGTGTCATGACTTACATCAGCCCAAACCAAACCACGACCCGCGTCTCCCCGCCACGATCAATGAACCTGCACCTCCACTTCCCTTTCTTCATACACCATATCAAAAGCCCACCAACCGCCATCATGCCTGAACCAGATAAGCACGCCGCTGCGCAACAAGCCGTAGATATCCTCCATGAGATCTCTACTATCCTAGTACGATAGCTCATCCATAAAACAAGGCGCGTGAAGACCTGACCACTGACTTGCGACCACAGAACTGTCACCTCGACCGCCGGACTCTATCCATCTGCATCTCTATGATTGAGCGTGGAGTGAATCCAGAGGCTTTAGCGGTATGTAATAAGAATTGACTTCCTTATGAATCGAAAGAGGTTCTAATATGTGTTTCCGTGCAGCAAGTTATCAAGGAGCTCAGACAAGAGGCCCAGCAACCTGCAGCCGCGGCAAGACGACGTTAAAGTGAGCGGAATGAACTCTATACAGAGATTTGACACGGATTGAATTTGAGATTATGGGAATGTTATTTGGGTAGGCGTTTTTAGGGAAATGCTTTCACTCAACCGGCGCAATAAGACTCTGCCAGGATAGAGATTTTGTTGTACTCATGCCCTAGGTACATACTCATACAATCATGCTACCTTACTTTGTGTCCGTTGAATCTTATTCAAAAACCGAAGATCAACGCAGAATAATAAGCGCCCAAGATGCAAACCACCAACCTAGTCACATCCCTTCGTACACATATATGTAGTCAGTCAGTAGCCTCCAACTGGTATTCCCTCACCAAGTTAATGCAGTCCCCCCAAACGCCTTGCAGTAAAAACAACCTAGCCAACCCTTTGAATTTTTATATCATGCTGTTTTGTGATTGCTCATCGATGTCCAATAAGAACAATTTCGTCTTCGTCTTCTTCATCATCGTCGTCGTCTTCGTCTTCAGCGTCCGAAAGTGTGTCGCTGAGATCATCGAGTTCAGAGTCTTCGTCATGCTCTGATGCATTGTTGCCACGGTTTCGGATTCTCCAAATTCCAAGGATATCGTCCTCCGACTCTTCGTCTGGCGGCAGGTGTGCCATGATCGAGTCGAAACCCATATTGCCAGGGGACACTGATCGTGCAACTCTATCTGGAGCGCGGTATTGAGCCTCAACACCGTGAGACGAATGTCTGCGCCTGTTTCCCACTGTGATAGGTGCCCGGTTTCCACTCACAGATCCAGAAGCATCCCGACCAGTTTCCACTATCGGTTGCATTTCAGCAGGCGGCTGAGTTCCTGCGCGGTCACCTCCCACAATATTTAGTTCTACCGTATTATATGACCGGCATATGGAGCATTTCAGACCCAACCAGTGATATCGAACAGTACTCTTTCCGGAACAATCGTTGCACAGAATAACGGCAGTGGTGTCGCGAAACTCCGGTGGCATGGGCTGAGTCTGGATGGCGACATCCAGATTTCGGAACTGACTCTCCATGTTCGTAAGACTCTTATTGCAGATCGGGCATTTGTATGATACTTTCATATGCTGTTCGTAGCACTTCTTATGAATACTATGACCGCAAGCCATGAAGACCACGGGCCGTGGTGAAGTGAAGAGGTACTCGCCACAGATGGGACAGTCGCAATCTGTTGACCTCTCGATACACTTGTGAGAGCCTTCGATCGAGGTTGAGATACATGCCCGACAGGTCTACAGCTAGTCAGCAATCATTATCATAGAGGCATGACTATTCTCACCTTGCAGTGAAAAAAGTCCCTGCCGAGGCCCATGCCTCGACGACAAATACCACAGTCGTTACAGTGGTAAATGGGTTTACTTTGACGGTTCTCCCATAAGTGACAAATATCGCAATAATAGTATGCTGACAACTCGCCGCAGTTGATGCACATGTCCGAGGCTTTTTGCGGCGTTGCACAAAGCATGCAGAGCATGTTCCTGGTCTCTGTACGGATGAGGTTGTGATCCTCGTTTGCATCGTGACAGAAGCGGCAGGTGTACCATTTCTTACATGTGAAGCACTGGAGCTTAACGTTTCGTTCGTAGTGCTGGCATCCAAGAGGTTGTTCCGTTTCTGGTACTACCTCCAAAGGTTCCACTGGAGTCTCACTTCCATGCCGTTTTGGCGGCTTCACAGGTACATACGTCGGTGCCTTGTCTTCCTCGCTCAAGATGAATATTTCCTCATCTGGTTGGTTCTGCCAGAACTTCAACGGCCTCGATAGTGGCGACGACGGTGATTGCGACAGAGGTACATCCAAGCCTTCACCACTCTCGAGGATCTTCTTCACAAGCGGTACAGTCTTGGACGACTTATATCCTTCCAACAGAATATCGTGGATTAACCGCGCTTTATCATTTTGGGGTATGTCTTGGGCGTTGATCGAATGGATCCGGGATCGCAGCTCGCGCATACCATCATCTTCCGGAATCCGACGAGAGCTGAGCGGGCTCAGAGCAATCCCGATATGATCGCGGGGAGGAGTTTCTTGGGACATGATTAGAACTGGTTCGGGTTCTTCAACTCTTGTTTCTTGGGTCGAGACGCTGAGGGGTCTGGTGAGGGGAGACTCGATGATCGGCACCGGTGCCGGCTGAGGTACAGGTGGAGGTACGGGTACTGGTACGGGTACAGGCGCAGAGACAGGACTATCAGGATGACCGGAATCGCTCACTGCGTCAGGGTGTTCGGTCGAGTCGCCTCCATCGCCAGTGAAGGTAGATCGCGAGATTTCGGAAAATCGACGAGCCTGACGCAAGACGGGGTTGATGAGAAACTCTGAGACGAGGGAAGACATCAAGTTGGCAGGCAGGTAGGTTGTAGTGGAGGCTTAAAGTAGGTAAGTTGGGAAGAAGGGAAAGGCCTAAGCGGCGATCCAAGATACCGTACGGGCGCACTAATAAGATAGAGGAGCTGGTTGTTGGAAACTGTACTGTATTGTACTGTACTGTACTTGCGCCGATACTGATACAGTGGAGGAGAGAGAAGGATGGCAGAGAACGACACTGAAAGAGGGGATCTTGCAAGGTAGAAGAGAACTGCAATGTAGTAATAGTACTGTAGCAGCGAGGAGAAACGGTAACGGCACAGGAACAGGCGCCTCAAACAACGGAATGACGAGAGACTGGAGAAGCCAGAGACTACGGCGTCTCTAGCTCTGTTCTTCTGTCTTTAGACTGGAGTTGGATGACATAAGGCGATTTTGTTCCCTGGTGACATTCAGTGGAGTTTTCCGAATAGCGGACGGTAAGCGGAGAATATGCAGTGAGTGCAGCGTTTGGAGCGATCAGAAGGGGACAATAGGGGCCGTTTTTAGCATGTGACTGTGGATTGTGGTTCACAGAAGGCCTCCGACTCTATTCCGTTTATACAACTGCCATTGGATATCATAGATTGACTGTTAGCATCAATCAAATGCAATCCCATAGTTTTGCCAATTCAAAATCGACAGTTTCGCTTGCAGCCGGTGAAACCCCAACTAAGATTTTTGCCAGTTCCATAAGGTACGCTCCGATTACGGGAACGGATCAAACCGCATGTTGTCGTAACCTCGATCAGACGAGGATTCGGATATATAGGGAATGTAGTGGGGAAATTGAATGACAGAGGCATAGGAATAGGATGAATGGTGCCAAAGACGGTAAAATACGGTGGAACAAATTGGATTCGGCGGTCAACCTCTTGGTTTTAGGTCATCTGTATGTATAAGTGAGGCACAGATAAGATCGGGGTATGTTCCGCTGAGTGAAGGCCGTTCTGGACCCTTTGAAGTGCATCCCTGAAATAGTTTTCGAACGCCAATCACTCTGAGCTTATTCATGTTTCATGATTCAGTACAAAAGGTAAACAGCAAGAGGCTGCTTTTGCCCAGTCATTCGGGGTTCAGTCTTGACAAACCGTGGGTCCTTGAACGCCTTCGGTTCTGTATGTCTCTCTGCCTCCTCGCTTCGGTAGGTAAGTTGCAGAGATGGACGTCATTAGCAGGAGACACCTGTCTGTATTCAATGTCTCATTGTCTAAAGAGGCTGCATTCAGAATCAACAACTTGAAGAAGCATGTGATCGTCGATAAAATATTAACAACTAACCGAGCAAAATGATATGAATGCCAGTGTAGTAGTTCTTACTATTGACGTTAAGAGAACAGCCTGGTTTAGAAATTGGTTATTCATCACTGCACTTGATGAGTCCTGCGGCCGTTCCACTACGGCTTTGCACGGTTAATTCGAAACAAACACTTCATTCAGTCAAGGAAGCTTCAGAGACAGATTCAGATCGAGAAACAGCAAAAAGAAACTGATCACGCTGGGGATCGAACCCAGAATCTTCTGATTCGTAGTCTCAGACGCCTTGCCATTGGGCCACGACCTCGAGTGTTTCTTGTTGTTTTTGTTCCTTGGTGAGTACATTACGCTAGATTACCGAGACTGACACAGAACGGCGCCACTTTTTTGAATTTCATCCCTGGATCCCTGCAGCTGATTGCCCCTAAAACATTCAGTGCAACGCGCTATCGAAAACGGACATGGGAGCTGGAAAGGCTGGACTAGGCTGAGGTGGGGGTAGTATCGACTGGTCGGGAGCTCACGCCAAGGGGAGCCGTACGGGAGCAGCTGTTTAGCGTGGGTGACGACTCGCCCGTCCCGTAGAGCATATGTGGCATTTCAGGGGACAGAAGAGATTCACTGTCGTGTAATATTCTTAGAACCACCACAAGCCGAACCGGTTCAGTTTCGTTTCTTTGGACTCGGGCATCTCCAGTTCTTTTTTCTCTATCTATCGTTTTCCCTCTCCTGATTCTTCTTCTTCTTTTTTTCTCCTTCCGACCTTTGTTTCTCTTCTATGAGCACAGCATTTTAGAAACGGCTCCTTCGTTGAAGCTGGTGTTCCTCCCTTCCAGGTTCCCTTGAGTCTCGACAGCTCGTCCAATCTTTTTTTTCTCCTTCTCCCTCCTGTCGAGCTTACTTCGCCAACATCAACCCCTTTGGCCCCCAGATCAAACATCCATTCTACAAACATCGCAACTTCTACTTCGAGCCGGTATCTATACGATTGAATAATCATGGCTGCCGACAAGGCTGCCGTCGCCTCAGGCGCTGATCTGGGCGATGGTCTGAGACAGCGTCCTGTCGCTGGACAAGCTAACCTGCAAGTCCCGACTCCTCAGCCTGAGGATAACAAGAAGCTTGCCAAGAAGGTACTGCACCTTTGTATGGAAGAAATGCCATTGAACAATACTGACCACATCTCAGGAGTCCTCATTGCTTCAAACGCTCGACCAGTGGGAGGTTGTCATTGCCCCGCTGATCTTCACTCTCCTGGCTATCTTCACTCGACTTTACAAGATTGGTATCAGCAATATCGTTACTTGGGATGAAGCTCAGTATGTCGAATTGGCTTTCACCGTCCCGCGAACCTTCTCTAACCTCTCAATAGCTTCGGCAAGTTCGGTTCCTACTATATCAAGCATGAATACTACTTCGATGTCCACCCCCCTCTCGGCAAGATGCTCGTCGGTCTCTCTGGAGTCCTGGCTGGCTACAACGGAACATTCGAGTTCAAGTCTGGCGAAAAGTACCCCGAGGAAGTCAACTACACCATCATGCGTATCTTCAATGCGGCTTTCGGTATCTTCTGTATTCCCCTTGCTTACTACACTGCCCGTGAGCTCAAGCTTCGACGTCCTGCCGTATGGCTCGTTACTCTGATGGTTCTTTGCGAGAACTCCTACACCACTATCAGCCGTTTCATCCTGCTCGACTCCATGCTGCTATGCGGTACTGTTGCCACCGTCTTCTGCTGGTCCAAGTTTCACAACCAGCGACACAACAGCTTCGAGCCTGAGTGGTTCTTCTGGCTCTTCTTGACTGGTCTCAGCATTGGCTGTGTCTGCAGTGTCAAGCTTGTTGGCCTTTTCGTTACTGCTCTCGTCGGTCTCTACACCATTGAGGACCTGTGGCGAAAGTTCGGCGACACCAAGATGCCTATTGTAAGTATTATCATGACTGACATCTGTTCTTGACTGACCGTCCATAGACCACTCTTGGTGCCCACGTCATCACCCGCGTTGTTGGCCTCATCGTCATCCCTTTCCTGATCTACCTCCTCTCTTTCGCCTTGCACTTCGCCATTCTCGACCGCTCCGGCCCTGGTGATGCTCAGATGAGCTCCCTCTTCCAGGCTAACCTCAAGGGTACCCAGGTTGGAAAGGACAGCCCTCTCGAGATCGCAATTGGTTCTCGCGCTACTATCAAGAACATGGGTTACGGCGGTGGTCTTCTTCACTCTCACGTTCAGACCTACCCCGAGGGTTCCAAGCAGCAGCAGGTTACTTGCTACCACCACAAGGACACCAACAACGACTGGTTCTTCTACCCCAACCGCCGAGAGGAGGACTACAACCCTGAGGGTGATCTCCGATTTATTGGTGACAACTCCGTCATTCGACTTATCCACGCTCAGACTGGCCGTAACTTACACTCTCACGATATTGCTGCCCCTGTCTCCCGAGGCCACAAGGAAGTTTCTAGCTACGGTAACCTGACTGTTGGTGATGACAAGGACCACTGGAAGGTTGAGGTTGTTCGTGATTCTGCTTCTCGCGACCGCAGCAGGATCAGGACTCTTACCACTGCTTTCCGTCTCAAGCACGAGGTCCTTGGCTGCTACCTCCGAGCTGGCAACGTCAACCTTCCTCAGTGGGGTTTCAAGCAGATTGAGGTTACTTGCACCAAGGAGAACCACCCCCGTGACACTTACACCCACTGGAACGTTGAGGCTCACTGGAACGACAAGCGTAAGTTTTGAAGAAAACGATGTATACTTGCTCATGCTAACTTTATATAGTCCCTCCCGCTGAGGCTGGTGTTTACAAGTCCCCGTTCTTCCACGACTTCGTTCACCTGAATGTCGCTATGATGACTTCCAACAACGCTCTGGTCCCCGACCCTGACAAGCAAGATGACCTTGCCTCCAAGTGGTGGCAGTGGCCTTTCCTCCATGTCGGTCTCCGTATGTGCGGTTGGGGTGACGATATCGTCAAGTACTTCCTCCTCGGTAACCCTCTCATCTACTGGGGTTCTACTGCTTCTCTTGGAATTGCTGGCCTTGTCATTGTCTGGTACATTCTTCGATGGCAACGAGGTGTTAACGATCTCAGCGAGAAAGAGATTGACCACATTCACTACGCGGCATTGTACCCCCTTGCCGGCTGGTTCCTTCACTACCTTCCTTTTGTTATCATGGCTCGTGTTACTTATGTGCATCACTACTACCCGGCTCTCTACTTTGCCATTCTCAACTTTGGCTTCCTTATTGACTGGTTCACTCGCAACCGCAACAAGACCATCCAGACCATCGTGTATGGCATTCTCTACACCGTCATTATCGGCCTTTACATTTACTTCATCCCCATTTGCTGGGGCATGACTGGCAACCACAAGCAGTACAAGTACATGAAGTGGTTCGACAACTGGCGAGTCACCGACTAAGGGGCTGATCAATGCTTTGAGCAATCTCTTTTTCCTTGATCACACATTGATCAAGACGAGCTGTCTCATGCACCGCCATGCAGACGTGTTTTGTGTTATTCGATTTCGAAAACGTGCTGCAAGGATATAGAACTGGGGAACTGATGTAAAAGACGGGTCGTGGGATTTGTTGGGAAATCAAAGGAAGCAAGGAATGAAGGAAGAAAAGACGAAACAGGATCAACAGAATAAGGCGGTTACGGGTGGATCTTGTTTCGGTAATGCTATGATATTGTCATTTCTGTTGCCCTTAATAAAGGTGGCCTCGG